TCACCCCTTGTCCTATTGCTACAGTCCCTGATGAAGAGTCCCTCTCCAGCATCCTTGTAGCCCCCTTCAGACACTGGAAGCTGCTCTGAGGTCTCCACGCAGCTTCTCTTCTCCAGGCTCAACAGCCCCAATGTTCTCAGCCTGTGAAATTCTCATGCTAGGAGCTAGGACTGTTCTCAAAAGCCAAAGAACATAAGCTAAACCTTGCTTTATGATTGAGGTTACAGCTGCTGAGTGCAGTGGGAACATCTGGAGCTGGAGACTTGAGCCATAGCGACTCCAGAGGAAGGGAATAAAGAGCCAAGTGAGAAGGGCCTGCGGTTCTGCAAGGCTGTAGCTGAGCAGAACTTTCCTAAGTGGAACGGTTTGGGTGTGTGACCTTCACAGGAGTCAGTGCCTTTGAAAAGCAGCCTCCTTCATAAAGCAGTTGCAGCAGACTCATTATTTCTGGATTAAGGACAGATGGCAACTCAACTCGCCTCGATCAGCGGGGTGCAGCAGTTTGTTGAGAGCTGATGAAACAGGACTCCAGGGAGAAAAGGGACTATCTGAAATAGGTCCCATTAACTTCAGTTAGATTCTGTGTTGTATTTTGCACGGATTACTCATTTCCCAGCATTAGAAAGGTCTCCTCCAACCCTACGCTTGAAATGTAAGAAGGGACAGGACAGGGAATTGTGCAGCAGGAAGGTGGGAATGGACAGTTCCTAGAAGACGGGGAGTTCACTGTGTATGGTTTTGGTGTCCTCAACATAAGGAGGACATGGAACTGTTGGAGCAAGTCCAGAGGAGGCCATGAGGATGATCAGGGCCTGGAGCACCTCCTGTATGGAGCCAGGCTGAGAAAGCTGGGGCTGTTGAGCCTGGAGAAGAGAAGCTGCGTGGAGACCTCAGAGCAGCTTCCAGTGTCTGAAGGGGGCTACAAGAACGCTGGAGAGGGACTCTTCATCAGGGCCTGTAGGGATAGGACAAGGGGTGATGGGTTCAAAGTGAAACAGGGGAAGCTCAGGCTGTAGATAAGGAAGAAGTTCTTTACTGTCAGGGTGCTGAGGCACTGGAATGGGTTGCCCAATGAAGTGGTGAATGCTCCATCCCTGGCAGTGTTCAAGGTCAGGTTAGACAAAGCCTTGGGTGACATGGTTTAGTGTGAGGCATCCCTGCCCATGTCAGGGGTTGGAACTGGATGATGTTAAAGTCCTTTCCAACCCAAACCATTCTATGATTCTTGAGGGCTGTTGCAGCTCAGCAAGCCACTCCTGAGGAACTGAGTGACATGGCTTAAAAGCAGCCACTGCAGTGACAAATCCCACTTGTGTCTCTTCTGCAGCACCTGCACTGGGCTAAAAGTATCTGTGTGTCGCCGCAGCTCATTCAGTTGTTACCCAGCCACCCCTTTCCAGATGCTTTCAGGAAGTGGGCACAAGAGCCAAGTGTTTTCCTCATGGCACAGCAATTCTTCCCTCTAAGATGGGATGGGTATAACTTCATATAATAGGCCCTAAACCGCTTGTGTACAGCCCCACTAAAAAAGACGTATCACCTGAAGCGGTGAGTGACTAGACCCAGGCAAAGAAGGAAGATTTCAAAAGGTTTATCTGACAGCTAATAAACAGGATAAATAACATACAGTATTTAATTTGTCAGGGCCATGGGACAACCTGATGATAAAAGAGGACTACTCCATAAAGTGGGGAATACCTTTGTCTTGGCTGTAAATGCCTGTGTTGATTTAGTAAGTGCTCTGGTACTTCTCTATCTTCTCTTTAGGACACACAGATTGGATGGAAACTGAGGAATAGCGGGGGGAAGGAAGTTATCTGTGCTCAGCCTCATAAAGAGATCTCATTCCAGTTAAGGGTTTGAGGCCATGATAGTTTTTATGTTATTTGACTGGTTCTCCTGTTGCTGAGGATAAGAAGTCATCAAAGACTGGAAACTACACTGTCCTCCACTCATCTTGTAATAAGAAAAGGCAGCACCTTTCTATATATTTTTAGGGGTTATTGTCATCATAAATAGTTCTATCCTGAAATGCAGGGCTGTTTTAATAACCCCTCATCAAACTGGGGACACCATGACAGGCAATCAGACTGGGTAAGCAGCATGTATTTGCTTTACAAACACAATATAAACCAGCCTTCTAAGACACTGGAGCAATAATGCGTTTGGACTCAAAAAGCATCCCCAGCAAATAAATCACAGCCTTGCAAAGGCTTGCGTGGAGCTGATTTCTCCCTCCCCCAGCCCTACTCTTGAGCTGCAAAGGAGTAAGAGTAGAGAAAGACATTCTTAAAAGGTCAAGCAAAGAGCTGATTAGCTTCTAAATACTTCTGGTTACAGATATCCTATCGATCAGCTCAAGCAAGGCATTAGGATATCTGCCATTATGCCAATGGCCTCTCTCGTGACTGAAACACAATCTGTCTCTCAGCAGGAAATGGGAGAGGCAAGCCTGTTTCCCTGTGCTGTTTTACCAGCAGAGAAAGTGACTTTCAAGGGAAAGACAATACTCAAGGTCAAATACTCACTGTGTGCCAATAGCAGCCCCATCCTCCACAATGCTGCTAGGATCTCAGAGCACCTTGCTGGCAGGTTCACCAACCTGCATTCCCATCCTGCTCTATTTTCACATGTTATTCTCAGTATTAAGCACCTAAGCAGCTTCCACTGCGTTCAGCAGGGTGAATGTTGCTGAGCACATGCTTATTTTCACTGTCTCAGGAGCAAAAGTAGTGCAGAGCTAGGGGTTGGCAGGAAAGTATGATCTCATGGCTTTATGTTGTGGGGGTAATGAGTGTCTGCCCATCCCTGTGCAAGGGGGTGCTGGCAACATCCCTATTTTGATGTGACACCTTGGTTGTTGAGGACCCTCGTTTTTCCAGACAGGGTTTGTATTCTGCCTATGGTGTGTAAAGAGCAGCAGAGCTCACAGCTCAGAGGACAGCCGTGATCTCCGTTGCCTCATAAATAGCAATACAGAGAGGCTGGGAGAGCTGAAATGGATCATTAGCATCTCTGAAATCTCAGACTGATGGTAAGAAAAGGAAAAGGGGCTTCATTTCATGTTTATTTTAGAAAGCAGCACTTGTCTTTCTCCCAGTGTTTCCTCTCTTAAATAAACCCCGCATCTTTAGCTCATTAGCTGTGCTTGAGCATGGCACATAAGCTGCATTCCTTGGACCTGAAGCATCTCCAAGGGTAGCTTTGGGTAATGAGAGAATACACAGCAGGGAAAGCAGCCATCTGAGAGCAGCCACCTCTGAGATGAAGGGGCACTTCTGCTCCTCCCCATGAGGTGGACAAACGATGGAGCAGAAGCAGCCACCAGCTGTTAGAAGCAGAGGCCTATGTGAGCAGATTTTAGCTTGCTGCATATGGCCGATGAGGAGTGAGCTGACTACTGAGGGATATGACAGCTTATCCATCACTTGAAAGGCCTGGCTCATCCCCTGCTGTCTTTCTACAACATGAAACCCAGCTTTGCTGGGCTTCCCACAGGCACCCTGCTGTAAGGCTTTGGACTGTGGGAGGCAAGCCAGTTTTAGATGGTCCTCATGGTACATCCTGCCATCAGCATTTATGGACATCCCACCAGGGTCAGTTGTTCCTGGCTGCAAGATGGAAAGATGCAGGGTGGAAAAGGCTGCAGAGGTTCAGTATCTTCCTCCTGCAAGTGGAGGGATCATCCCTGCAGAAAGGGGCTTGCTGGTTCTATCAGCTTGCTGTAGCTGGTACAAGGGGGAAAGCTGTGTGCTGCTGACACTGGGACTCAGCATAGGGATGCGAAAAAGGCACCTTCCTCTAATGATGCTCACAGATTGCTCCTCATGGGTGCTGCAAGGATGCTGGAGGGGAATATCATCCTCCTACCAAAGATGTCATTAGAACAGCGCCTCTCTGGGGCTGATGGCATCTGCAGGGAGGGGAAAAGGGGTGTCCTTTTGGGAGGGAATGGGTCCCCCATCCCAGCTCCCTTGTGCTGTCTGCACATAGGCACATGTGTTTACATTGGGAAACGGGGGGGAGAGACATCCTTGTGTATCTTGAAGTGATTTTTGCAAGTGTCTTCTGGGGCTAGGAGCCAACAAGCCACAATATGGACAGAGGATCTGCTCAGAGGAGGGGACCTCTTTGCCACAGGAAGCACAGGAAGAGCTGGATTAGTTAGAAATGGGGTTCCAGGAAGGCAAAGTTCCTGTTTAGGGAGAGGGAATAGAATCATAGAAGCAACTTGGTTAGAAAAGAGCTATAAGCTCACCCAGTCCAACCATTCCCCTGACAAGGCCACCACTAACCCATGGCACTGAGGCCTCGTCTCCACGGTGTGTGAACACTTGCAGGGACGGTGACTCCAGCCCTGCCCTGGGCAGCCTGTTCCAATGCCTAAGCACCCTCTGGGGAAGGAATTGTTCCTCAGCTCCATCTAAACCTGCCCTGGGATCAGCTTGAGGCCGGTTCCTCTTGTCCCATCCCTTGTTCCTTGGGAGCAGAGCCCAGCCCCTCCTGGCTCCATCCTCCTCTCAGGCACTTGTAGGGAGCGATCAGGTCCCCCCTGAGCCTTCTCTTCTCCACACTGAACATCCCAGGTCCCTCAGCTGTTCCCCATCACACTTGTGCTCCAGGCCCTGCAGCAGCTCCGTTGCCCTTCTCTGGCCCTACTCCAGCACCTCAATGTCTCTCTTCTAGTGAGGAGCTCGGAACTGAACACAGGGTTCGAGGTGTAGCATCACCAGTGCCAAGTGCAGGGGGACAATCACTGCCCTATTCCTGCTGGCCATGTTATTTGTGATAGTTGAAGAAGAGTCAATAAGAGGCAATACTCCCTTCCATTTGACATTCTGCACTACCCTGTTGTGTATAGTCCTACCACATTCAAAGACATCCCAGTCTGGGGGTACGGCAGTGGGTACATTGCAGGGTCTGCCAGGCCAGCATCGCCTCGGCATCCTGGGTGCTGGGCTCTCACCGAAGCTGATGGGGCTTTTCTGGATTTTGCCCAGGTGGTTGGAACCCGTGGTCGGCTTGGGGCGACTGCACCAAGGACTGCGGCGGAGGCCTGCAGACCCGCATGCGCACCTGCAAGCCCCTTCCCAACGAAGGTCTTGTCTGCGAGGGAGTCCTGGAGGAAGGACGGCTGTGCAATAGGAAGGCATGCAATAGTAAGTGGAGGCATGTTCCCTTGCACGCGGGTTGCTCTTCCCAAGGAGGAGCTTTGGCCTCATCGCCATGAGTGATGAAGGATGCTCTGGAGGCATCGGTGATACTGCCAAAGGGCCGTGTTGGAGCATCAAGCCCAAGGGAGCATGAGACTTCGGCTGTGCATGGCCCCGCTCTTCCCTGCCTGTCTCGCGGTCACGCATGCACACATGCACGTGCTGATACACTTCTTGCACCTGCAGATACACACCTTTACCCTAAAAGACAAAGGTTAATCTATAAGAATCTGTAAGTAGGATTACATTGGGTATTCATATGCTGGTGATCGATCTGCCACCCATAGCAAAATACACACCCTTAGAGACATTTCTTTGACAGCTGGAGCCTCTCTCCTGAATAAATATAGCATGCTGCTGAGAGAGATGCTAAACTCATTTCTTTTTAGCTTAGTTCACCTTCCCAGTCAAGAGCAGTGTTGCACTCTTTTACAAAATGAAGCTGACATGTTAAGATGTGAGAAAAGAGAAAGATCTGGCCATTAGACAGCCAAAACACACGGCCTGAGCAAGGCAAAGTCTTTGGCAGATGCTCCACTCCTTTCCTGCAATACAACCTCTTTCCAGGTCCTTTTCTCCACAGCGCAGGAGACATTATCAATGCCAGTCAGCAGTCAGATATTGACGGGTTGACCGAGTGAACCTCAGCACTTTCAACCCCAGTTCTTACTTTGCATCAGCTGAGTTGAGAGAGGGATGAAGAGGTAAAAACAGCAGAAGCTCAGCCCAGCAAATTCAAGTGAATGGCTGGTTATGATTATTCCTTTCTTTTTATTTCAAATTCATAGTAAAGGGTGTTTAAATAACTCCTCCAACTAGCCAGATAACTCGGGAAAGCTCAACTGTTTTCAAAGGCAGGGAAGTACCTCCTGATAAAGGGGAAGTTTAAACAGAGGGACATAACTATGTTCCTCTAAGGGCTAAAATGATTTCATGCATTTTTTACCATATCTATAAATTTAAATCATGTTGCAATTAGGCTTCTTTCTTTCTTTTTCTTTTTTTAATGAAACCTTCAAGTATATTAAATTTCATCTCCTTGACTCACAGCTGCTAATTTCTGTCTGAGGTTCGCCCACACTAGAGATATTTAATCTATGTCCCTATGCTTGCTGGTGACTTTGTAGTCATATTGCAGCTGTAGCTTGGGTCAGTGAGGGATACAGTGCAAGGACTTGGAAGCTGAACCTGAAAGGAGGTCCAACTGTGGGACTTGTGTCTGAATGGAGTTGAAGGAAGGGCTGTGCTGGTCATGGTGGACAATGCTATTAAGGAGAAGAAGGTGGAGATGGCGTTAGATGGTAGCAGAGTCTTTGTAAGTGTGGCCATTCTTTGAGCATGGGGCACATGGGACAACAGGCAAAATACTGCTTAAGGTACCTCTCCTGTGTTGGACAAAGATGGGAAGGCAAAGCCCTCCAAACTCTCTTTGTAGCACATCCTAAGTGCAGAATAACCTGATAGTAATGTAGGCTGCTATTACTCAATAAATGGTTTCACTTATATTTCTGTCCTCATTCCGTTACATACCCAATCAACTCCTCTTCCAAATTGCATTGCAATTGGTTCAGCTGGGCTTATTTGGGAAGGAAAGGATCTTTAGCTGTGGAAGGCCCTAGTTTGAAAAGAGAATACACCCACAGAGTAGGGCAGTGCAAACTGATTTATCCCTTTGATGTATATAAGTTAATGTTGATTAATTTTCCCCAGAGCCTCTTTGCAGACAAAATGCTGGTCCCTGTTGTGATGCTTTCATGCTGACAAGCTAGAAAGCATTTGAGGGAAGATGTGAGCAATTAATCTATCAAGAAGACTTACCCACGCCCATCTGGAGGTCTATGTCCAACCTCAAGATAAACATGCATCTCTTCCTGTCTACCAAAGCTCTGTGTTCGGTTTTGAGCTAGCTCCTCATTTGCCTTTGCAGCCGTGCCCAAGAGAAGTGCACTTTTGACCCAAGAAGGGCTTGTAATGTTTTTTGCACATATCATTTCCTTCTCTTTACTCTGATCTGCGCCAAAACCTGAGCGGATTTAGAACTAGAATAGGAATCCTGTTTTAACTGTGCCACTGCTATCCTCATATTGACTTTTGTTCATAGATTTGTTAGGGATGAATAGAAAGTTCATTCTTGCACTTGAACTGTTATTTCCTTAAGTGTTCACTGTAGACTGTGGTTAAATAGATGCAAATTTGGTTTTCTTTAATTAGATAAAAGAAGAGGAAAAGGGAGAAAAGATGAACCAGACAAAAGAACATCTTTACCCTGAATTGTGCAGGATTTCAGTAGCTTGTAATAATACTTGACTATCTCTCCAAGTATTGTGGAGTAGCAGACACCTTTGTTTTCTAATAGGAAACAAACAGGAAAATACACTCTTTTCCTTGACCAAAGGGCTATCACTAATCCTGATAAAATAGTCAAACAAAACAGGGATGAACACCTTGTTATTTTCCTCTTTGCTGTGAGGGTAAATTGAAACGTTATGATAGCACCACTGAGAAGTAAAATCAGCTGGCCAAGTTAAGTTAGAATAACACAGAAATCACCACCACCTTCAAAGCAAGGGTAAAGCCATCTCTTCTCTTTAGCTCCTCTTTCCCTCCTTCTGCCAAAGTGCCTCATTAGCTGATGGGTGATTAGCAAGAATGTTTTAGCTGGATCTTTAGTAACAGGGAGAGGTCTTAGACTGATACCACATCTGGGGCAGGTTCTCTATGGGAACATCTTTGGGAGCTGCCAAGATGAATCTTTGTGGAGGATTTCTGAGGGTTTCATTGGTTCTTTTATTTTGTCTGGCCATGGTAAATAGGTTAGAGGGATCCAACCTTTCTTGCCCCAAGGTGGACCTTCTCCAGGTCTCTATGCAGCAGTGGGAATGGTGGTTCTCAGTGTTACCTCTGACAGCTTGGTCATTGAAATCTAGGTATAGCCACATGGTGGTTCCCAGAGATGAGTCCAAACACGCTGTCTGGAGGCCATAGTGTTGTTTGAAATCACTGCACAGAGACATCTGAATACTCCACAGATACCACTTGTATGCGGTCTTTGTGTTTCCCACTCACTTGGGCCACAATTTCTGCTGCTTCATGTAATGCAGTCCCCTGCTTGATGATCTTCATCTGGCTAAATTTCGTCAGGGATATATACCCAAATCCAATGGCAGGTAAGTTATCTCCTTGGGCAAAACCCAAAGCTGTAAAACACTGAAGAAAAACTGTAATGAAGGCTCATCCCAAACTGGAAAGGAAACTGCCTGGCAACAGCAGCTTGGTTTAGGCAGAGCTTTTCTTCATGGCAGTTCTTCAGCTCAAGAGACATATTCTGAAGGACAACATTCAGTGTTTGATATAACTGATTTTTCCTTGCTAGAGGCAAAGGACTTGGTGATATCCTCCTCTCCAGCACAGACAGGGGAGATCTCCTCCATCTGTTTGATTTGGCCATAGCTTCTGTTTTATAGAGGGAGGGGAAAAAAGCCAACTGGTGTGGTGACAAGTGCTTACAGGGGAGCTTTCCAGGCCCACCCTCTTTGGATGGATGAGGACACCTGCTGTTCTCCACTGGTCCCTCTTGGCTGTGTGGTGTTAAAGATGTGGTTGCTCACAACCTGGCATGCAGAGGGTCCTCTAAGGGAGGATGGATGGGTGATGTAGAATGACAACATGCAGACCAGAGGGAGGATGTCATAGGTCTGACCCTGGTGCTGGAATTGGGCAGTTCTGCAGGAATGCAAGAATAGAGATGCAGGCAGCCTGCATCTGTTCCTGGGGAATGAAAATGAGCAGAGGAGCCAGCTGAAGCCCTGCCATCCCATCTGGCACCGGCAAACCCATCACTGACACTTAGGAATATGCAGATTGGGCAGATAGGTCTCCCCTAGGCTGGGAAAGGGGAGGCCACATCCTGCCATCAGGTGCAGAAGTGTGACACCGGAGCAGCCCTTTCAATCCATGCTGGATTTCCAGCAGCAAGCATGTTCAAGATCTAGCCCTTCAGCTGTGTAACTGTTAGTGGTGTGAAGAAACACGTGTTCCACATGACATTCAAAACATGAAGCCTCAGTCTCTTCCTCTGCCGCCCCTGATTTCCATTAAAAATAACCTTTTTGCTGCAAACACTAAGCTGAAATATTCTTTAAGAGCATCTTCATTCCGCATAGGCTAAAATATATTGCAAGCTGGAAGAACTCCTTGCCTGTAGGAACTTGCTGCTGCTTGTAGAGACTTCACCCTGACCCTCCTTTTAATAATGGTGCAGACATTTCCTATCTGGGGCTCACTCATCTCACCCAGTGACATTTGCACAAATCTCAGATGTTCAAAATGCTTGGGGCTACTTCCTTATCTGGTGCAATTGCCATATATCCAGTGCCTCCAAAATGACCCTCTCTACATCCACTGAGGTCTTGCTTTTCAGGGGTTGTTAGGATTCTGCCTTAGTTTTATGCCTTTAGCATCTTCTAGATGCCTCAGAAACTCCATAGCCAACACCTTCTCCTTCAGTTTTATGGCACTTATATATATATATATATATATATATATATATATTCCATTTAATCATCCCTTTCCACTCTTTGCTCTGGCCCATCCTTTCATTCCCACCACTTCAGCTTGCCTGAATAATTTCCATGACCCTTTATTTACCATTTACTTGACCTCTCCTGGGGGATGAGTACAGAGAGAAGAGTGTGCAGCTCTGGTGAGACATGCTTGGATGTTAAACCCTTGGCCCACAACACTGCAAAGTCTCTGCATTCATTTTCCCCCTCCCTTGGTTGTGCTGCAAGGTGTTGTCTGACACATTACATGTTCTCATTAGAAGTGTTGGTCATCTGCTTCCTCTTCCCACTACTGCTAGAATTAAAAGATTATCTTCCCCAACCACATTTGAGAGGTGTTCTTCCAAACTCTCACATGCTTGTTGTCACTTGAAATGTCTCTGTGCTCCCTCCAAGGGTATTATTCCTGTAGTCCTCATGTTAGCTCCTCCAAGGTGCTGGGTATTTCAACAACATGCCATCCTCACAGCATTGGGTGCAAATAAAGTCTAGGTCTTCCTTTGATACTAGCACTACTCCTTTCCACTAACCCCAAAGTAGGACGTGAGCCGTTTAAATCCAACCAGTTCCCCACTGCCTTTATTGTGTAGTCTTCACCCCTTACACTTCAGGTGCATAAAACCCAAAGCAAAGTATTGCTTGTATCAACTTTGCCATGTACATAAGGGACCTGGGTTTTCCCTGCTTTACTCAGAACCATGGCTGATTATTGCACATATCCAAGTCAAAGCCTAGGTTAAGTCTAAACCATGCTCCATGTTAAATGGAGACAGACATGCAGCAGATCAACCCAGATATGGGTCTGGAGACGTTCTTTGCTGGGGGAGAATTGGATCAAGCTGGAACAGTCACATATTCATCCACTGAGACCTGCTTGCTGTTAATTAGGATGAGCAATAACAGCTAAGACTTGTCATATGCATCAGGGAACAAAGGAAATAATGCACCTCCTCCAAGGCTAGGATCAGTCATTAGGAGATGTCAGTAACATGGGGCCCAAATAACTGATGAGAGGAGGTTCAGGGTGCCAGGGTTGAATATAAAGCTTTTATTTTGCTCTTTTATCTTTCCTTCTTTCTGTCCTGCCTCCTATCTCTCTGTTCATCCATCCATCCATCCATCCATCCATGCTCACTGGCTAATTCTGGGATTGTCAGTCCTAGGTTTCCCTTGTCACCTTCCTTGCTCTGGGCAGCTGAAAAAGCCATTCAAGTTCCACATTTACCACTTTCTGCCCAGTCCCTGTTTCTCTTCGCAGCCTAAACAGGTCTCTGAGAAGCCTATGGGATTTACTACAGATGAAGATTTGGTGTGTTCTTACGGCTTGTATGTTTTCATGAAGGGGATTTAAATCAGAGCAGATGAAAGTGCATGGGTATAGCCAGCAACAGGTCGTGGGAATGGAGCATATTAGGATTGGTCTCATATTTGGGATCACATTTGTGATGTGTCCCAAATATGGGACTAATTTGACTTGTGTCCTAAGCAAACTGAAGCCACTGGATATTGGAAAGATAGTTAAAAGTTGGTCTTTATTTTAAATTGAAATGCTCCATGACTTAGTAGCTATTAAAATACAGGATTTAGGCCCTTTCTAGTCCAATAAACACCCAGACAAAAGGTATATGCGAATATCAGGGTGCTTGTAGTCCTAATTCCCTTGCTGATAGCAGGCAAGTGACTGCCCCATCCCAGCTCCTCCAGCCTGCAGCCTGCAACCAGCTGATGCTGGGATGGTTTGGAGTTGGCCTGACCAGTTCCTATGCTCCTTAAACGCCTTTCAGGCAGCAGTAATGGGAAATAATACAACTTCATGAACTCCATGGTCCTCTTCCATGAACTAAGCTTCTGAATATAAAGTCTGGCTCCTGGCAGGGACTCTCTGAATCATTCCTCTCCCTCCTCTGCCTTTCCCTTTTTGGACGGCAATAAAGATTCCTGCCACCACACTGAAGCTTCATTAACCTTTATTAATTTTCTCAAGGTTCCGGGATCAAATTTGTCACCATTTCATCTCTTGGCATTTGGTACTTCTTGAAAAAAAGAAATGTTTGACAGTTTTACCTCCTTTGGAGGAGAAAGATCCTCTGTCTGGAACTTGCTGTTTGGAAACAAAGTGGTTGCCAGATCACATATTATTTGGGCTCAACTCTGCTCTCTGCTAATCCACATGGCCTGGTGGAGCTCTCTCCTGGTTTACAAACAGTCAGTGCTGGTGGGTGGGATTTGGTTGTTGTTGCTCAGTTGTTTACTAAGCAGGGCATGTGTCAGGGTTGAAACGTACCAGATAACATGGAGAATGGGAACTTTAGTCTCCCTTGTAGCAAGGTCAGAGCTAATTCACGTGGGAAGAGAATGAAAAGCTGGCAGAGCATGGGTTTGGTAGGAACATGGGTCCTAGCTGTCAGTTAGGAGTTAAATGCCTTTACGGTGGATGCATTATTTACCTTCTGGTCTCAACACCATGATCTTCAGTAGGAGATTTTCTGTTAAAGAGCTTCGCTCTTCCACCTGAGTTGGAAGGTGCCCATCCATAACTCTGTTGGTATAAAAGTCACTTTGTCGATAGCAGACCTTCATCTCTCTTTGTTGCTGGTGGAAGGGTAGACTCTGTGAAGGAGACATCCTTTTGAGCTATCCCTTTCCTTTTCATGTGCTTCACATTTTCTGGTTACTCTACAGAGCATTGCTAAGTAGATGTTGATTGCAAGGCAGAGTTTTCCACTAAAATAAACCTGTTGATCATCACCATAGGCCTCAAAACACTGCTAAAGATGGTGGGATTCATTGTCAACACATCTGAAAAGGCTAAATCCTCCTGAAGAAGTACACCAGAGAGTACATACACCTTAGAAAAATCATTGTGACTGATTAAAGACCAGACATAAGGGATCATATTCTGCATGGTCCCAAGTCTCACTGAGAAACAAGGGGTTGAACTGCCATCCAGACCAAGTCTTGCAGGCTGACTTGGTGCTGAAGTCTCAAGGACTGCTGATGGTCAAGGGTGCTGGGGTTGGAAAGCCAGTGATTGTGTCAACCGAACATTGCAGGTCGCTGTTGTTTTATACGTGTAACCTTTGTAGTGAAAGATCTTGCAGAGTGAACCAAGGTGTATTTACATGACCCATTACCTTGCCATAGCCAATGGACGCTATAATTCCAGAAGCCAATCGCTGAGGTCCACAGATAACAGAAAGCGAGAGGACACTGACGAACTGCAGCACTACGGGTACCCTGCACCTCAAATAGGTAAGCTCTGACCTACCACAACAGCCTATGGAGATGGCACACTGCCTGGTCACTGCACTTCCAGGCTGGGCTGGGCTGGCTGCATTGACTTGCTTTGCTGTTTCCATGACCCAGCTAACCAACTCTTTCCCCCCCCAGGCTAGTGTGGGCTTGCCCAACAAGTCACACACTGAGCAAATGGTCATCACTCAGTTTGCTCCCATTAACCTACAGGGTTTTGTGTTGGTGCCATTAGCCAGAGAAGGCAAAAAAGGTTAGATGCAAAGCCCTAGCAAGACCATGCATCTCACAGACTGCTTCTTATCGCCCTGCCTACTTCTTAGCCACTGCTTTGTCTGAACTATCTAAACAGCCATGGTTCATTAAGCCAAAACTGACCTTACTGTGATACAGCCTCTTTGCTGATGTCCATGTCACACCTTCCTATTGACTGTAGGAAGGTTGTGATGGGGAGAGAGCAGGACTGCTTTCCTCTGTCACTGGTTTTTTAAGTGCTGTGCAAGGACTTGTATCTGGTAGATTTCTGCAGAAGAGCCTTCCACCCGACTGCAACAGAAGGGGAGTAATGTGTAGGAATATCAGAGAATGTAATCTTGGAAGATGGGAATGAATTGGACCTAGTTCTATGCCAGGTCCAGTCTGGAGAGGTTTTGTGCTCTGTCTTCATCTCTGCCTTTCATAGCAGCAGCTTAACACATCATAGGTCTTGGGCAAAACAAGGTGTGCTGAGCCTGACTACGAGTTAAAATCATTGCCCAGTGACCTTGCAAACACTTGGTGCTCTACAAAGGCTTCAGACAAAGCCCAGGAGCTGTGAAACAGATTATAAAGGGAACGGGTAATATTCTGTTATGTATTTGCTTTGCTCCATCCAACCCAACAGGACTTCGCCAATGCGCAGCACTGAATAGTCAGGAAGCTGTGTGGTGTGGAGGTTCCAGGGGTGATCAGGCATTGACTGGGGTTGTGGCTTTCAAGTTGAAGTAAAGGATGGCCTGAATTTCTTTGCTACCCTGCACTGAATCTGCTCCCTCAGGTGGAAGAAGACGAGATCAATGTTGGTCAGCAAAAGGCTGCAGGACATGAGATAGAGGGTGTTTGCACTGCCATAACCTGGTGAAGCTGAGCTCCATCTCTCTGTAGCACATGGGGAGGAAGAGAAGGGACTCTAAGGCAGGACCTGGGATGTCCCTTGTTATTCGTACTCTGCCTGGTCCCAGGTGCTTCCTGGTGCTTTGTTCCAGCCTTTAGCTCAGCCATCAGGCTTATAACTGGGCATTTCTTCCTGTCGCGCAGCTGGATACTGCATCTGGGCTCAGTGACATCTCTATTAACTCCCTGTTACCATAATCACTCCTGCAGCATGGATGACTTGGGCTGTGGTATCCCCGAGTGCAGCATGGGCTGGGAAATGTGCATTGTCCTGCTGCAAGCTTGCCACCTTCCTGACACTGTCCCAGGAGCAGCAACTGCAGCTGAGTGGTTCAAAGAAATCATGATGAAGGAGATGTAAAGACCAGGCAGCAGGTACAGCCCAGGGAGGGATTTAGAGGAGTCTTTAGCAGGGGGTGTTAAATCAAAGCCCACATCTTCCTTAGCAATTAACACACTTTATAAGGGATAAGCCATTTCACATCTACCAGTGACCTGGAAAAATATGAACTATGGAAAATGGCTGATGCCAGCCTTAAAGACTAGGGATGAAGAGATGGCCTTGTCCAGTTGAATACTGGTGTGTAATCCTGCCAGCCCTCTACAGCCCTGGGTCCTGTTGGCCCATACGTAGGCTCTGGCACAGTTGTGCTCTCAGCTGTGGTGCTGCTGGCTGCCCATGTGTCTCTCCCAGCAATAGCATAAGAGTGAGATACAGCCCAGCAGGTTGCTGGCATGGGTACTCCTGGCTCAGCCCACAGGCAGCTTCCAGGAAGCCTTTGCCAGAAGCAGGATAAGAGTGAAGAAGTGGCTTGTGTTTAGTGAGCTGCCACATTGACAGACACCAGAAAGACAAGGGATCCTGCAGACGGTTGACAGTGATGTGCTGCTCCATTAGTACCAAGGGAAGAAAACATCACCGAGAAGCTGCAGGCACTGATGGGGACCAAGCAGCCAGCTGGGCTCTCTGTACAGCCAGCTGTGCTCTCTGTACAGCCAGCTCAGTTACTCTCAGGGCTGGCCAAGAGTTGGAAAGGGTCCTGGATTGCAGTGCTACCTGCCCATGGAGTGATGCCCAGTGCGTAGCACCTCGCAGGGCATCTCCAGCTGCAGGAGAGGTGCTGCAGCTGGCTCTGTGGGAGCAGAAAGCTCTGCAAAGGGACATCTTCTCACCTGAAGTGGAGTCCTTGCCCTTAAGAACTCCTGTTAATCCCCAGGCTGGAGAGGGACTTTTCATCAGGGACTGTAGTGATGGGTTCAAACTGAAAAAGAGGAAGTTCAGGTTAGATATAAGGAAGAAGTTCTTTACTGTGAGGGTGCTGAGGCACTGGAACAGGTTGCCCAAAGAAGTGGTGAATGCTCCATCCCTGGCAGTGTTCAAGGCCAGGTTGGACAGAGCCTTGGGTGACATGGTCTAGTGTGAGGTGTCCCTGCCCATGGCAGGGGGTTGGAACTGGATGATCTTAAATTCCTTTCCAACCCAAACCATTCTATGATTCTAAGCTAGCCTGGAGCATCACAGGACTAATCAAATCCTGCAGACACATCTGTCTACAGGCATCAGGCATGATGAAAGGCAGTGAATGAGCTGTTGCCCTCTGTAGGGTGAAGAACAATTTGTGGGAGTGCATCTCTGGCAGGTCTAATTATAAGATAGTACTGAGCTATACTAGGCAGCTTTCCAACCCAACAAGCACGGTAGACTTCTTGCCCTTATATCATAAATCAGAACCAGGATCCATTTCTGGGATAAATAATGGGAACATATTGCAGCCAGCATTTTGTATTTGCTGCAATCTGACCCACAGGGATGCAGAAATTCTTCTCATCCATAGTTTTTACAATAGCCAATATTCTGTTTCTCTTGGATGGAGAATGAGAGCTTGACCTGATGCCTGAGAGCATCTCAGAACTGGGTTTCACATGGTTTGAAAATCAATTGAATTTCCTCAAGGTTTGAGACTAGACTGGATACAGTGTCCTAGTAGGCTGAGATGTATTCCTTAGTTCAAAATGACACCAAAGCCAAAGGAGAACCAGCACTTGGAAAATCAACTTTTTGTGGATTTAAAAGCCAGGACTGGTGCAATGTGAGAGATGATCATTGAGGAGATTTACCTCTAATCATAGATGTTTCTATTGGAAAAGGGCAAAGGCCAAAAATAATAAAGAAGAGGAAAGAGTCAGAAGAGGTGGAATTTGGTTCAAAGATGCCATTCGTTGATCAAGTGACACAGCAACTTGTCTGAATATGGAGATTGCAAAGGTCTGAGTAGGGAGGTGGTGGATGTCAGGGTCTCCAAGCCATGAGTTGCTGATGGAGGAGGCCACTGTGTCTCTGCAGTATTCCCTTGTCCCACCTCTGGCCTCTCAGAAAGACTTCTAGGCACAAACTGGTAGCATTTAACCACCAAAGAATGGCATCTCCCTGTCATTGAGGCACTTGATGCTGGGTGCAGTACTGGGGAGGTTGCTGAGGGCAATGGGAGGTGTTCTCTGAGCAATGGGAAGGCATCATCTGTTCATACAGCATCCAAACAAGGTATGTAGCAGGAATTGTTGGGATCTGTGGGCCAAGGAGGGGTCTTCTGGGGTCTGAGCCACTCTAGAAGGCAAATACTGAAATGATGGTACCAAAAAGGCCACTTGCTGATGATGAACTGAGATTATCACAGGACTGTCTGTCTGACAGAGCCTGTTGAGTTCCTTATCGGAAAGGCAGCAAAGTTACCATAGAAAGGCAAAACTCTGTATGCCAACAGATCTAATACTTGAGCACTGAGGCCTCAAAGAACACACTATCATCTCCTACACATCCCAGAGAAAGACCAATATTCCATGACATTTATCTAACTGGAACCAGCTGTGTAGGTCAATGAAACAAAATGCAAAAGCAAAGGGAAACAGTATTGAGCAATTTTGGCTTAATGAACAAAAGCAGTTACTTCTCATGATAATCATTACAATGGCATAGGTGAGTAAAGAAAGGCTCACCCTTACCTCCTCCTCTTTCTAAGTCCAGCCACTAAATGAAGGGATGAAAACCTGTTGATTTTACATCAAGGACAGATCTCCCTCTACACTTTCCCCCTTCAACAGCCCTGCACATACTGATTTACCAGCCTCCAATGAATGGGTATATTTGCAACTACCAACTGCCTGTATGACTGGAGATGTTCAAAGTAGATGTGCTGAAAAGCATGATACATAATAAATAACAGATAACTTCCAAAAATCCCAATGAGCAGATTGATGATGGCTTGAAATCCTGCATAGAATTTCTTTGCACACATTTTTCCCTTAAGAAACTAGTAAATAAATATATATATTAGGCAGTATTGGGCAGTTTGGTGGTCTCCAACCCTTACAATCCTCATCACAGTTCCTATACTGACATTGACTTTTAAGTAGCTGGTTTATAACCCTCACTGCTCTAGAAGCAGGCTGAGATCTCAAGCCATACCAGCCTACTGTCAGAGTCTCTTTCATGCTCTGTGTTGGAGCTGACCAGTCTAACACAGCATCTGCTGTCCAGCTTTCTTTGGGAATGTGGTGGTTGTGTGGGAAAACAAACCCAAGTGCTGTGTGCAGCCCAGGCTGTGCCATGTTGTACAACCCCTGAAGTCTTGTTGCACCCAGTGCTGTGATGCTTCTTATCGCAGCCATCACCTTCCAAATGCATCTGGTTGGGATGTGACATAGTGCAGTCTGATGCTTTGCAAAACTTGTTAGTTAAAAGGGTATGCCCCTCTGTTATGCAGACTTAAAGATGTTTGTTTGTGCCATATGCCTGTGTACTATACATACCAAATGTTGTGTTCTTGGTTTGTCATGTGAAATTATAAGTAACCCATGAAAAAACAGAAAGCACAAACAATGTAGAGCTCAATTTAAAGGAATAGAGCAAGGTTTTGTATTCACAGGGGGGAGAAAGCCGTTCTCTCAAAGATAGAAAGCAGGAAAAATACGGAAAACTGTCCTTTCCCTGCCCATGTCACAGTTCTGGTGGCTTATCTGGAGTCTGTGGCTGAAACACCCCTGGCATGACCATCTGTCTGCAAGGATATTATTGACAAAGGGAATATGGCTCATTGATTCCCACTCCCATCTCTTGTTCAGTAGGATACTTTTAGTTGCCTTTTCAATACTGCCCGTAGATAGGGATTGTGTGATGCCCTGGGACAGCCTTGCTCTGTATTACGAGTTTAAAGCAGATCTTCTCCATAGGTGCAGGAGATGACAAGAGAAAACTGTGGGATTACTCCAGCCAATGTCCTTCTCATGCATCCTGTTTTGCCTGCTCCTCCTCTGCCAATCTGCGTTGGCAGGGGCTGTGAGAACGCAGGGAAAGGACTTGAATCCTTACAACTGTTTTGTTTATGGTCACATTTACTATAACTATTAACTGCTACTTAATTAGTACTATCTGTGAGTGGATGATACATATCCCAGCTCACATGGTTCTGCAGTAGCTACAACCCCTGGTGGAGCCTTCCCTGCCCAGTGCCCTGATGCTTCCACAATGTCCTTCCCTGTTTCTCTGCCTGTGTGTTACACCTGTATGGAGTAAATGGGAGTAAATGGAGTAAAACCTTTTTATCCCATTGCCAGCCCTCACATTCTCTCACCAATGCCCTTGCACCCTTTTTGTCCACCCCATATGGGACACGTTGCAGAGCTTCACACCAGCAACTTGGGAAGTGTAACTCGGAAAGCATTGCCCTGGAGATCCAGGTACAAAGTATGCCAACATCCTCACCTTCTTCTCCCACCCCAACAGGTGACCCTGCGGCTGAGGAGTGGTCCCCATGGAGCGTGTGTTCGACTACCTGTGGGGAGGGCTGGCAGACCAGGACCAGATTCTGCGTGTCGTCTTCCTACAGCACTCAGTGCAGCGGCCCTCTCCGGGAGCAGAGACAGTGCAACAACTCCGCCGTGTGTCCAGGTGGGCTGAGCACTCCATGGATGGTGGTCAGGAGGGGAATGGAGATGCCCAAAGGATTGGCTGCCTGTGATGTCTCCACTGTGATATTGTCTTGGAGGGAGATGGTTTTGTTTCCTTTTCCTTCTCTTTTTACCCTAAAGTCTCATCCAGACCTTGCTAGACCTAGCGCTATTAGATGGGCACTTGTTTTGTGTGGTATGGATGATCCTACAAGAAAGCTGGAGAGGGCGTGAGATGACAGGGTAAGGGGGAATGGCTTTAAGTTATAAAAGGGGAGATCTAGATTAGATATTCAGAAGAATTTATTCACTATGAGGTGGTGAGGCATTGGACCATGTTGCTCAGAGAAGCTGTGGCTGCCCCATCCCTGGCAGTGTTCAAGGCCAGGTTGGACAGGGCTTGGAGCAACCTTCTCTAGTGGAAGGTGTCCATTCCAACCCAGACAATCCTATGATCCTATGATCTTTAAGGTCCCTTCCAACCCAAACCAGTCTATGATTTATTCTATGATTTGATGATATCTAAAGTTAATGAACACAGTACATCCGAACGGCATGTGCTCCTTGAGGTGTTTCCAATCATGGGGCAGGCTGGAAAAGGGAAGCACCAGTTGACACTTTAAGTCTCCCAGACACCACACTGGGCATATCATAGCAAAATCAGCCTGAAAAACTCAGGCTGCTGGTATGGTTATGAATGGAACCAGACGTCATCTCTGTTTCCATACTCTTTCTTCCCCAGTTTTGGTGGAAAAGCACAGTCTGGGGAGCCTGGACATAATTTCATCTGTTAAACTAGGTGTGTTATTACTAACTGGCCATACACTTGTTTGGAGTTAATCCTACAATGGTGAAACCACAAAGCTGTTTTTCTATGCTCTTTCCTGCATTTCATAGAATCATAGAATAGTTAGGGTTGGAAAGGAGCTTAAGATTGTCTAGTTCCAACTCCCCTGCCATGGGCAGGGACACCTCACACTAAACCATGCCGCCTAAGGCTTCATCCAGCCTGGCCTTGAACACTGCCAGGGATGGAGCATTTACCACTTCTCTGGGCACCCTATGCCAGAGCCTCCTCCAGTCACCTCTTACCACACAAGGTGCCTGGAAACAACTGCAACACGTTAGGTTTGAACACCCTTTGCTGAATCTGGTGCATCAGCTGCTGTCGGCAACTGGTGAAGGACAGGAAAAGTTCCTGTTTGTGTGGTTTTTATCCTTGAAGCATTATTGACTTTGCATTAGCTTCTCCAGTAAAACTGGAAGGGATCAAGTCCCTTAAGAGAGATCAGTACACTCTTCTAACATTTGGCCTCTAGAGATTACACTGATAAACCTTCCATAAATAACCAGACCACATAAGATTAGATTAGATTGGAGAAAATGAGATTAATATAGATTAGAAGGCTTTAGCTGTCTAATTTAAGGAGGTGCCAGTGATGGCCTGAGCACTACTAGAGTGTATTGCCCATCCCATTTTGTTCTTCCAGGTCTCCCTTGCTTTGCTCCTATGTGTCACTGACAGTAATTAGTAGTCAGACTACAGCTTTTCTGAGAGCTTAAAAATGATGTAGCTTTGGATGATTTAATGAGAAAACATGTTGAGGGAAGGATATAAGGGTAACAAGTGACAAAGTGATGGTGATGCTTCTTCCCCAGGAGTGGTGCTGGGGCTTCTTTTTTTGTTCCTCTCTAGGCAATTGTGTCTTTTGCTCAAAATATGCCCTTTTCTCTTGGCTCAAAGGTCTGAAAAGAAATAGGGTCAATTGTAATTGCATGATGATTTATTTCAATTAGTCCAAAAAGTAACAGACACTCTGTGTCAATACCAAAGCATAAAAGATCTCTTGTACGTTTTGGGTTGGTTTACTCGTGGCCTTCCCAAACTACTTGTTCTGGGTGGGAAGATGATGTTCTCTATGGAGTCAAGCACTTCTTCAGGCCTCCTTTGGAAAGGAAAACTTATTTCTTCTGCTTTGATTGCAGTGCACGGCACCTGGGATGAGTGGTCTCCATGGAGCTTGTGCTCTTCCACATGTGGGAGAGGATACAGGGACCGGACCCGCACATGCAAACCCCCTCAGTTTGGTGGGAACCCCTGTGAGGGCCCGGAGAAGCAAACCAAGTTCTGCAACATCGCGCTTTGCCCAGGTAAGGCAGTTAGAGATTAGAGACCTTCCCTCCGACAGGTCTCCCCACCTCCAAAGATGCCCACACACGGCTCATGGAGAGGGTCTGTAGCTGTCTCAGCTGGATCACAACACGGTCTGCACTGTCCCAGGGAGAATCCTCTATAAGGACCCATTGAAGGAACAATCTAGAGGTGCTTTCTGGGGCTATTCAGCTCAGTGTTGTCTTCAGTTCAGATTTGCCCTGTGTAATAACTTACAGAGCACACATTATACAGGTTGGATCTGGACTAGCTCATCTATCACTGCTATTTCCAAGCACATCTTAAGCTTTCCACTTGTTATCTCTGGTGAAAGGTTTAAAGTTATTTTGCCTGACTGGGCTTGTGCTGGAATTAATAGTTTCTCTTGCTAGCAATACACATGCACTAATTCACTGTATATGCAAGATTTCTCTGTACCTGATCCCGCTTTGGATGATGAGACAGACTAAAGGACTCCTGGGAGCTTGCTATGCATTAATCCCCTATACAAGCACATTTTCTCTATGCCTGATCCTGCTTTGGATGGTGAGACAAAATAAGAGACTCCTGAGAGCCTTCCATGCCATATTTCAATAGTTTTAAGTGTTAAATATTAAACACTTAAAGTGCTTTTAAGTATTAAAAGTATTAAAATATGGCATAGAAGGACCTTTTCCCTACCCCTGGATTTCACTTCCAAATGCCTCTCCTTGAGTTTTGCTTTGAAACACCAGAAAGAAATCTCAAGATGAAACGGCTTTTATCCATTGGAAATCCATTTATGTTCCTGTGGGTTTCTGCTCCTGATTCAGACTGGTTTTACCAGAGTCTGTATAAATGTAACTCTGGGGTCCTGGTGACCATCATCTGAACGTGAGGGAGCTCCCCACCATTCCCTCCTTCTCCCAGGGTAAAGTCAACTGACATTTCTCCAGTCTAATGAGAATCATTATGAGACATTACTATGTCCCCAGAGGAGGAGAGGGATTGTGGGAGTGATGGGAACTTTGTGAAAGCATTAGTGAGAAGCTTCTTGCTATTTCCCACCCAGCTTTCACCTCAGATAACTCTCCTTGGGTTTCTGGCTGCTGTCCAGAAGGCTCTATTGGGAATGAGAACATCCCAGACACACCAAATTGTCTCTGTCATAAAAAGACAAATTCAAGAAGTCAGACCTAGCATCGCTTGGGCAATGAAGCGCATCCTGAGCTAACATTGATCCATAACTCATTTAAATACAAATAAACATTTGGATACACCGCAGCAAAGGAAACACCGTGGTGGAAAAGACAAGCAGCCCAACTGCAAGACCTCTAATGAATGCCACAAAGACAATTAGGTGCCTTTGCTGTGCCAAATGAGGGCGGCATTGAGGGAACCATTGATGCTCAACAATGGGCCCTGCTCAACGCTTGACACACCAGACACTCAGACTGCTTATTACTGCCCTGCTCTGAGGATTTATTACTACCAGTGATAAACTCGCTCTGCTGCAGGGACAACAGAGCTTTTGTTCCTCCCGAGCAGTAGATAATGCAGGCTGAGCCTCAAGTCCTTTTTAGAGAGAAGGAAAAGGGGGAAGACCATACCAGTCTCTGCATAGACTACACCAGCCAGACTCCAATGATAGACTTACACTGCAGTGGGACAAAGTCTTTGCTTTGGCCATGATGGAGACTCTTCAGCATCTTACCCAGAAGATATCTTTACATCAGTGCAAGCAGCTGGATGTGCAAAATGACCACCTCCGTTGCTCCATTCTTTCAAGCAGCTTTGAAATGACAGTCTGTGAATAAATAATCTCTCATCTCAAAGGAAATTACCTGTTCCCTATCCCCAGCTGAATGATCAGTTTATGGATATGGCTTTCTTTCATTTCCCCACCTCTCAATGCTCATGCTTAGGGTAAGCTGCCAATGACCACTGCCAATGACCACAGCAGGTAGGGTTTTAGTAAATTCAACTATTTTTTGGTAAACACAACTCTTCTGTTAAATGCAGCATCTACTTTGTTAAATGCAACAAAGGGGAATTATAATGATGGGCAGATGCCATCAATCCACACTACTTTCAGTCAGAGAAAACACGCTAATTTATACCTGGTAGGATCTCCTTTGTGGGGTTTTGGATCATTTCCAGTAAGGAATCACCTGTCAGTCACCACTTCTTGCATTTCCCCTCTTTAGGATTGATAGGCACTGATATGATGCCTTGAATTTATGCCTTATGAAAACATTGAGCTTGGATTGCTAAAAACAAGCACCTTTATGCCTGCCTGATTTTTCACACTTTCTGAGCTCACGTGAGCCCCTCTGAGTTAAACAGTTGCTTAAATGGATCTATTTGATGGGGTTTTTTTACATGCTTGCAAACAAAAAGCTTCTCTATTGCGATGAGGATCATTCAGAACTGTTTGAGTCCTTGCACATTACATAGGAGGCCAGGTTGCATACATTTTGCATGGGCTGACAAACAAAGTCAAATAGAATGAGCTGCGATCTGCAGCAACGTGATTAGAGCCAGAATTCAGGCTTTTCAGGGATGGATTCAGGTTGTTTTCCTGAGTGAGATCTGGCAGCTAATGAGAGCTAAACAGAGTATGATGACCGTTGCTAATGAGAAAGAAGAGCTCCAGGAACAGCAGCCTGGGTGATGGATCTGTTGATCAGGGACCAATTAGGGTGTAGCTGTCACACTTGGGAATGCCTCGCACTGTACGAGGCTAATAAGATGTATTCATGTTTCTCTCCAACCACGTCCCTGTGCCTGTCTTGTCCCTCCTTCCTCTATTTAATTATCAAAGGCACTGTTGTGTAGAGACATATCAAGCCTGTCAGTGTTAATTCAGCCGTGAGAGAAGTACATTGACCACACACATGCACTGCTCGTGGTCGTCTGTTGGAGCACACCTTTGCTCCAAGCATTTCCCTGCTGCCAGCGTGAATTCCTATGAATAACACTGTGATTCAAGTTTCTGCATGTGCCTTAATGGCAAACAGAGCATCTGGGTGCTTGTCAAAGTTCCCTCCCTGCAGTCCCAAGCACTGCTTTGGTGAAAAATGGGTTCCCTCAAAAAGTGCTGATTGCCTGAAATAGGAAATGGCATGGTAATGTATTGGTTCCTTCACAATTTTCAGTGCAAACATGATCTATGCTCTCTATTTTGATGTTGTGTTGTGACTGGCAATATTATTAGTTCTGACTTTAAGGATGGAATGTATAATATCAATAATTTCAACTTTCAAGGGATTAGGTAGAGTGTGGACATAAAAACTGAAGTGTTATGGTACTTGCATCCTGATGGGCCATAACAAACCCATCAAAGGTTGCAGAATGTCCTAACAAATGGCCATTGCCACAGTTGTCTGAATGTTTTCTTAGTGATCTTCGCCCTTTCTCCTGACTCTGATTTGTCCTCCCCTGCCTTGGTCCCTTGCAGGCAAAGGCCGGAGACTCTTTCTTGCACATTCCTCTTTCCAGAGGGAGCGATTTTCACATTCCGCTCTGTTTTCTCTCTTTGGGCCACTCAGTGGACGGCAACTGGAATGAATGGTCGAGCTGGAGCTCCTGCTCGGCCTCCTGCTCCAACGGTACCCAGCAGCGGACGAGGGAGTGCAATGGACCTTCCTATGGGGGGGCCGAATGCCAGGGACACTGGGTGGAAACCAGAGACTGCTTCCTACGCCAATGCCCAGGTCAGTGACCAACGACTTCTGCTTTCTCTTGGCTCATCTTTCTCTGCAGTCCTAGGCAGGCTTTGTAGAATCTTTCTTTGGTGAAGAACTGCAGTTTTCACCACTAATGCAGTAAAAAAGAGATTTTGGATCATACCAATGGACCATGCCAGTCAGAATCCATAGCTGGCAAATGCTCCAGGGGACCCCAGGGAGGTGAGTGATTACCCACAGGGGATGTGGCTTTCTAACCTTAGATACCAGTTTTCAGCGTGTGCTTAAAAACCCCACCAAAATATCAATTAATCTCTTTCCTTCACACCATAATGCTTCAACTTTTCTCCTTTTTTTTGCTTTGTGTTCCTCTTCTCCTACCAATTTACCACTCCTAGGTATAGTTGAAGTGAACAGGGAAGCAACCTCCATTGTATCACAGCTTTGAACCTTGTATATGACAAGGTCTGGCACAATGAAGCGTTGATTCATACCTATATATCTAAGACTTATCATTTACTTTAGTCATCTAGCTGTATCTTAAAATAGTAGTAATAATAACAGCAATAATAACATTAATAGTAATCATTCTTGCTGTCCCAGCTGTTGCAGCCAGCACCTTACATTCAGAATAATCACCTCATCTTCATAACTTGGACCATGGGCTCCAAAAGAGTCATTTCATGCAGGAGAAGCAATGAAAACTGAAGCAGATACTAGAGCACACCTAGCACATAAATCTGCATTTATCACACCGATACCAGCACTATAGAGTTGCAGTTTGCTGCTTGTTTTACACATGGGGAAGGTCATTGCAAAGGGGCAGATTGGGTCAGCTGGTGTGAGAAATATTCCAACCTGGAGAGAAGGCTTGACCATCAAGAAGCCTTCAAGACTGATCAGCAACTGATTTTTCTTGCCCTGCTTTTCCTGGCTGATTCCCTGCCTCTCCCTGGGTTAGAGATCCCTATTAGATCAGGGGACTGAGAAGGAGAGGACATCTGAGATGGAAAAGGGCTTTCTCCCCTTTCCCAGAGAATAAGGACAGCCAGAAACAGTTCACATGTTTGAGGCACTTCTTATACCTTGCTCAGGTAAGCAAGTATTGATCTCTCTATTCACAAGCCAGTGGATCTTCAGCCTGATATACCTGTTTCCTCAGGGAATCCCTATCTTCTCTGGTAGCATCACCATCTGCAGCAGAGCATAAGTAGTATTTAACACAGGTATTGGACTTTCCTACATTGTCACTAGTATGTTTTGATGTTTAGGCATCTTAGTCCTTCTTTGTAACTTATGGAGATCTTCAGAGACAAAGGGCCTCACTTGTTTTTAGACACTGGTTTCTGAGTTATCTATCAAAGCAATGCTGGTCACGTATTGAACCGCATACGGTGTCACTAAAAGAAAACACCAGAGGTTGGAGCTGTCCCTCTTTCTGGAGAAAAGAGGGATCTCCCACCCTCCCAGAAGGATTTATTTGACCCATAATAATGCGTTAACTCCTAATTAAAACCCAAAGAGTAATCGGCAAACTTAGGTCCTTGCTCTATTTCTGTCACTGAGTTGTTGTTTCCCTACATTGCAGGCTTATTATGAAGGCTAATTAACATTTTATAGTGCTTTGATAAATGCCATTGTTAATGTAAAAGGAGCAGCATTTTGATAAATGCCATTGTGAATGCAAAAGAGGTAGCATTTCCATTGAACGTGTAAAGATGTTGGGAGAAGATACAGTGGAATGAGGCAACATCCCAAGCCTGTTTCCAAAGCACATGAAACAACAGTGAAATGGAAACAGATGAAGGGAGATTTATTTGATGTTTTCATGGTTTTCTCACCCAAGGCCTCTGCTGGTCTAAATCTCAAAGCCAGACCTTCTCTGGGAAGGTGTGTATTCACCCATACATTGTACATCCCAACACATCTCAAGGTATGGACTTTGACTGCCAGACTGGTTGAATCCCTGCCTGCCTGTAGAGTGTTCATGAGCATAGCCCCAAATCTGAGCCCAAGGAAAGAGATAGGGTTGGTTTTGCAGGGAGTGAGGATATTGAGAGGAAACACAAGAACACCCACAACTATTAGAGGGCTGCTGCAGTGGGAAAGAACACACCCTGATTTCGTACCTGTTGAGGATCCAAGCAGGAAACCTCCCTTCACACCAAGTGTTGCTCTACTCACCCTATGTTCCACTGCTCACCTTGAGACCTTGCCTCCTTCTGTTGCACATTGTGTTTGGGACATGACAGGCTGTTTCTCTCCTCTCTTTTGTCTCCAGTGGACGGGAAGTGGCAGGCTTGGGGAGTGTGGGGCAGCTGCACTGCAACGTGTGGAGGTGGGACTCAGAGACGTGACCGTGTGTGCTATGGACCTTTCTTCGGTGGACAGACTTGCCAGGGCCCCAAGGAGGAGTATAAGCAGTGCAATGACAGAAGGTGTCCTGGTATGTAACCTCAGACCTCTCATTCTTTCCTTTGCATGCGGGGGACTTTGGAAAGAGATTCCATGTCCTGTGTCAAGAGAGCTGAATGCAACAAGTTGTGATCAAGTCAGGCTCTGCCCAAAACCTAGCCAAGGGCTTCATTTAATCATTGCAGAAGCCGGTGTGACCATGCTGATTTCAGTGAATGTTTGGTAAGTCCCACCAGTCTAGCATTGATATTTTTCATCTTCACATTCCTGCAGAGTCATAAAAGAAAGACACTGTTTGATATCAAAAACTGGTATCAGAGTCTGAAGCCCATGAAGCAGTTGAGCACTGAGGATGCTGCAGTGGTTTCTCACCCTTTCCTTAGCCTCTGGAAGACCTATACACCAATGGCAATTTAAAGAACAGACAGATGTGTCCACATCTGTCAGAGCCTTACCCAACCTTACCCTCCTCCAGCTGTAGCATCCATTTGAGAAAAAGGGTAAAAAAGCCTTAACAGAGGGCAAGCGAGCTGTAGAACAAGAGAAAATACGGGATTTAATGTGAAAAATAAGCAGGAACAAATACTTGGAAATGGGAATGCTTCTGTCTGCCTCTCACACAGTATTCAGAGGCCAGGAAAAAGGTCTGTGCACCATTTCTGTTTTCTTTCTCAGTCCAAGTCGGAATTGCTGGTGGGGAATCAGTGGCCTGTGTGATGCTGGCAGTCAGATTGCATTGATCATAACAGGCCCTGATGTTTGACCAAAAGGGTAACTAATTGTCAGAGCAGCTCAGTGAGAGACAGGAAGGATTCTCACAGCGGTATCCTGGTGAGAAGGAGCATCCCCCTAAAAGACAGGCTGGATCTCGGCACAGAGCGAGCAGTTTGGTGCTGAGGGTGGATCTGGATGTTGAAGGCAGCTGACCCCCCTACTCCTTTGCAAACTGCTGAAGCCAGAGATGAAAGCCAAAGCACTTCAGCGTGGAAGTTGCAGCACGTTTAGCTCGAAGATAACAGGAAAAGAGCCTGTGTGACAGCATATTCACTCTTCCCAGCCAAACTCCAATAAAAGGCATCACCTCTCCTTACAAGCTGTGCCTTTCAATTAGCAGTGGCGTGTGAGAATCTCTTCTAACTCAGCCACAAAGCTCTTCCTCGCAATAGAAAAGCTTAGCACGGGGTTGTCTCGTGGTGTCTATGGAGTGATGCAGATTTAGTTCAGCTTCAGTGTGTGCCAGCTGGGGCCCTGGCAGAACAAGTCCAATCTTTTCTTCTTTTTCTGCAGGGGCTGGTGCCTACACAGTGCTCAAAAGGAAAAGGCATGTCTCAGGGACTGAGCCCTGCTAGGGTTCAACACCAGAAGGGTCTCACTGCAGTCATTAGCTTGCAACGAAAGGGAAGTGTGGGGAATCACCAGATTCCCACTCAATTAGTTCTCGAGAAAGTATCAAATGCCGACATGATTTGATTTGAACAGAAGAATTGAGCTTAATTGGGTTAGTTATTAACATCTCCCTGTTACTCTGGTAAAAAGGGGTTTCTTATGAAGCAACATCAAAAGAAAAAGCCGAAATAAGAGAAAGAGGATAATTCCCTGGCCTGGGAATTGCTTCTGTGCTTGCTGGCAAGACAACGCCAATCAGTGTATCTCTAAAGAGTATCTCTGATCCACAGCATCCCTCAGCGGTCCCCAGGGAGACTTCAGTGGTGAGGAGACAAGCAAGGTTTGACAGGTCAGAGGAGGAGAAAGGAGAGGTCGGATGTGAACACAGCCCCTCTCTGTTTTTTTGATGTGCTTTTTGTCTTGTTGCTGAGGATGGTAGAAGCTTCCCATGCCCTAAACCCTCGTTTGGACCACAGTTTGATATGGAGAATCTGTGAGCACTGTTCCAGGAGGCAGTTTTGCATTGATCTCCCCCTCTGCCACAGGCTCTCTGCGTGACCATGTGCCAGTCACAATTGAATAACTTAATGTATCTGTCCTACAGCTTCATGTCAACAGGTTGGAAATGAAGCTGCTTCTTTTTCACTCATGTTCTGCCTTATCCACTGAAGCTGCTGGCATAGGAAATAGTTCTGAAAATGTGCAGAGAGCAGCAGGGGCTCTGCTTCTCCTTCAGGATTTCATTACAATAGTGATCACTCAAAAGGGAATTTAAAAACGGGAAGGAGCATCTGTCTCCAAGCAGAGATGGTAACTTGTTCATTACAGTTTCTACTGCGGAGGAATCTGCAGCTGGGGCTGGAGCCAGATAGCTTTGGAGCTTGATTTCAGGAGCAGTGATGTTTAGGCAGCTTTTGGGTCTTGAATGAATCCTTCAAAGAAGAAGGACTCTTCATCAGGGATTGCAGTGATAGGAGAAGGGGTGATGGGTTCAAACTGAAACAGGGGAAGTTCAGGCTGGATATAACAAGTTCTTTACTGTGAGGGTGGTGAGGCACTGACACAGGTTGCCCAAAGTAGTGAATGCTCCATCCAAGGCATTTATACCCATGAAGGTCCTGAGATGACCTATGTAAGCACATCCATTGCACAGTCCCTTTTAGAAGGAAGCCTTCAGGTCATTGCTGCCCAGCAGCTCTCTTGGGAGCAACTTGAAAACTCAAGGGCTCCCTCCTCTTTATGACAGATGAAGGGGGCCTATAAGGATGCTGGGGAGGGACCCTTCGTTAGGGACTGTAGTGATAGGACAAGGGGTAACGGGTTCAAACTGAAACAGGGGAAGCTTAGATTGGATATAAGGAGGAAGTTCTTTACTGTAAGGGTGGTGAGGCACTGGAATGGCTGTCGTGGGAAGTTGTGAATGCTCCATCCCTGGCAGTGCTCAAGGCTGGGTTGGACAGAGCCTTGGGTGACATAGTTTAGTGTGAGGTGCTCCTGGCCATGGCAGGAGGCTGGAACTGGGTGACCTTAAGGTCCTTTCCAACACAAACCATTCTATGATTCTATGAACATTTTCTCTACAATCTTGACATGTCTCTGCTGGAACCATCGGACCCTGGTATGGGCAGCACTTTAATGTATGGGAAGGAAGCTCAACAGGTTTGGCTTTGTGGCTGCCTTTGCTGACCAGTTGCAGGCACACACTCAGCTTCCTTGTCATTGGTAGTTTCACCTGCACAGCAAATAAAATCTGCATCAAAAACCATTAAATGAAGGTGTTTCTCCTCCTGAACCTCACCTTCAGGAGTGATAAAAAGCTTTAACATCATCCTCATGGCTCCCTCTGTTTTACGTGCTGTAAGTGCTGAGTTTCTCAGCACAAAGCTCTCTTGTGGCGAATGTTCTTTTCCCAGGTCCCACCAACTCTGGGGACAACTCAGCTCCTCCTACAGATGGAAACATCCGAAAACCTCCTTCCAAAGAGTTTTTAATATGATGTCTCAAAACACATTTCTGCAGCCTCCTGGACTCTGCAGCAGTGATTGGAAATGTGCTGCTGATACAAGTCCAGCCTGGTGGTGCTCAGACCTTCTCCCTGTGTCCTTGCATAAGCCAGAGACCTGAATGAAGTCCACCCAGGAGATATGTGTTAGTGGGGTGACATGTTTTAGTGTGAGGTGCCCCTGCCCATGGCAGGGGGGGTGGAACTGGATGATCTTAAAGTCCTTTCCAACCCTAACTATTCTATGATTCTATGACTCTGTGATGTCTTTTCATCTACTTGTTGTCTCTTTCCTTCATTATTACTACAATATATCTATGCCAAGCCTCATTTTAGACACATCCAGCCCTGAAGGTGGTGATCATGAAGGATGGAGGGAGTCTGGACCCATGGAGTTCACGCAGAAAGGGTGCTCATGAAAAGAAACACCCAGCTCTTTAGTGGGCTGTAGCAACAGCTTTCTTGCAAAGAGCTGCCACAAGCGTGCTAGTGGACTTTCTCAAGTTGTTACCTTCAGAATGGATGGATTCCCAGTTTACAGACAGGCAGAGCAAATTCAGTGAGATCAGATGGCTTTGTCAGGGGCCATGCACAAAGCAGCTTCGAGCTGGGAGTTCACCTCCTCAGTGCCGTTCCTTCCAGACTACATTCCTTTGTCTCTTCTTCCCATTCCCTTCTCTGCATCCCTTATGAGGAGGCTTTATCAATTGAGTTTTTCCTTCCTTGCAGAGCCCCATGAAATCTGTGATGAAGAAAGCCTTGGCCCTGTGGTTTGGAAAGAGACGCCCGCTGGGGATGCTGCTGCTGTCCGGTGTCCTCGCAATGCCACCGGTAAGGATGACTGAATCCCTTGGCTGTGGGGCTGGACCACTCCTGGGGTATCTTTTATCCTTTGCCTCCTGGATGAGGAGAGCCTGGTTGTTGGAGGGCAGGACAAGCAAACGGATTTCCCTCCCTTCACACAGAGCTGGGTTTCTGTGGTCCTTCTTGGTTCATACTAGAGAACGTGATGTGGTGTCCCATAAACCTACTGTTTAACCCTGGGGCAGCTTTGCAATTAAGGGTTACTGCAGTATGTTCTCCCCATTATCTACAAGTAACTCTGCAAAAGCAGGTAGAGCTTTATTAAAGTCCCCTAGAATTGGGTGTTATATTTCTCTCCACTGCCCTTAAAAGAAGTTAATATCTGAAAGTAGGAAATCTGAATTGCACTGTTTATTCACACTTAGGTGTTTTCCTCTCCTTAGGAACCATAGCAACTCCCTAAACGCTTCTTCAGGTGCTCAAGTTGACAGTCTGATCATGGTGGTGTGAAGCGGCAGGAACTGGGCATCCTGATACATTATGACTTTATCTGTCATCTGTTGTGGCTATAGCCATGTGTTCCCATAAGGAGGGAAAAACAGTGCAAAGAAAGCTCCAGGAGACATGCTGATGGAGCTTGTCCTCAGTTGGATGTTTCTGACTTCCATGAAGGAACAGAAACGGGGTAGCAGGGTCAATAATGAGCATAAAGGTTTTGTTTTGTTTGAGTGAGGTTGTCAAATAGAGACAAAAACCCTGCAGGTCTAAATCACATAGCTTGGGACAGCCAGTGTCATCCCAAATGCTATCCTAGAAGAAGGGCTGCAGCCATGGAAAGGTCACTGAATTGTTTAGTGGTAGTCATGGGATTGTGGACCCAATAAAGTTGCTCCTCGGAGACACTCTGAATGGCAGCTTGGGAAAGGTGATCACTCTTCCCTTCCTCTTTGCTGCTAAGTCTGTTCCTCTGCATCGCAAAGGCATGTGATTAACACTGCAAAACCCACTGTAGTCTGAAGCTATGGAAAGACCTGGGGGAGGACTGCTAGCAGCTTGTAGAGCTCTTCAGCTGATGCAAGATGCTGCTGTTGGGTGTTTGTTTTCCTCAAGACTGTGTAGGCAGCACAAGCCACTGTGGCTGGTTTAGTTGCAAGTACCAGAGCATGCCACCTGGGGAGGCTCGTGGGACTTCCTTAACCAGGACCAAAGCTGCCCTCTAGGGCAGAAGAAACCTTTCACCTTCACTAGTCAATGTCCAGTTTGTTAGGTTTGGGGTTTGTTCCCTTCTCCTTTTGCTCTCCTGCCCCTCAATAAGAAAATGCAGAAGGAAATAAAAATACTCCCCTATGTGCTTGCACGTGTTGTTCAGGCATCTTCAGATGCCCTTAATGCTTATAGGTATCCCTACATGGATGCACTGACCAATTCTGGATGAGCTCCATGAAGGTGCTTGTCTTCTCATCCTGCTTCTCACCCTGTTTCTTTCCACTTCCAGGGCTGATCCTTCGAAGATGCATTTTAGATGAAGAAGGGATAGCTTATTGGGACCCTCCAACATACATCAAGTGTGTTTCTATTGATTACAGGAACATACAGATGATGGTAAGGCAGACCAGCTTCTCAGCTCAGCAGGTTTGGGATCCCCCCCAAATGCTTGTTACTCTACTACACTTACAAAAAGGAAGGAAAGCAGCATAAGGTTGGACCAGATGATCCTTGAGGTCCTTTCCAACCCGGTATTCCATGATTCTATGGTTGATTTCCATGTGAAAGGGAGATGTCATCTCTTTTCTCTTACTGTTTTTGTCTGCTGAACTTATGAAACATGGGCTCTGTATGGACAAAGAATGGTTCCTCACTGTGTACTTGATTATCTAGCTTGGTAGAATAGAAGTTCTACCAGGCCTTTCATATCACATTATCAGTACGAATCGCTGTAACTGTATCACCTTTGAATGAGCCACTTATTTTTGTTAGTCTTAAGTTCAGTTTTGTGATGAATTCCTGCTGGTCTCTTGTGGCTTGCCTTTAAACAGCACTGCCTTTATGAGAACCACTCTCTCCTATTCAGGACAAGCTACAAATAGTACCAAATTGGTTATAAGAAAACAAGATTCTCCTAGATGGCTTTAGGATATGAACAGAATAGCGTCTGTGTAGTAGAATAATCTCTTCTGGTCCTATGCACAACCTTTCCTTCACGGGCATGCAGCAAATTTCACTTCTGCTTTCTTACGTTTGAAAATACCACAGACTTTCAGGCCAGCCAAGATTGTCAGATTCATCTAATCTGCACACTGAGTTACAGGGAAGGTCAAGAACCTTCCCCCAGCAATTCCTTCACTGAGCTCATTAACTTGGCTTGGTCCTTCAAGTTTGTCATCTTTCATTCTCTTTCTCAGACCAGGGAGCATCTTTCCAAAGCTCAGCGTGGCTTTATGGGAGATGGGCTGTCAGACGTGCTCCAAAACCTTGTGGAAATCTCCCAGGATGGGACCAGCTACAGCGGGGACCTATTGTCCACCATTGACGTACTCAGGAATGTGACAGAGATCTTCCGCAGGGCTTATTATAGCCCAACTTCTGGGGATGTGCAGGTGAGCTGAGGTGCATATGCTGGAGACCAAGGCCAGACTGCAGATGTGTGTGAGTGTTCAGAGTGTGATTACAGTGCTGATGAAAAGCCAGAGTGTTTGCTGCCCAAGTGTCCTTGTGCATTAACAAACTCTCCTTTTGAGGTGGCTCCCCCTTGCTTATAAGTTAAGAACTTGAAAATCAAAGTCACTCTGAACTGTTGTAACCTGATAGCCCTTTAATGTAGGGTTTAATTGAGATGAGAACATTATTTGGAAGGGATTTCAGTCTAATGACTAGAGGTAAGATGATCCTATAGTATTTGGTGCCTGGATGCTGATATAGGAGAATGCCTTGATGGTTTCTCATCCCAGGTTTTTACTTTCATCAGTTCCATGCAGAGTGACTACAAGATATACTCTTGGGACAGGTTATCACCCAATGGCTTGAAACATTAAACTGATCTTCCAGGATCTGCAAAGGGTGGTAAAAACAGAAGAAGAAAATCAATGATCTTGAAATATCTTATCTCTTTGCTTCTCATAGTGTGCTGTAAAGATACTACCCTCTTGATCAATCACTGCTTCTCTTGCCTGGTCACAGACTAAAGAACATCATAAAGTTTCCTTATGCTGGAAATAACAGAAATAGTAAAAAATAATATAGGAAGGGATTTATACAGGGCAAGATAATCTGTTTTTAATAAGTTTCTGTCACACATCTCCCTAATCTGTTCTTAAAAACCATCAGTAATGTGGATACAAGACATATTCCCCGTCCGATGCCTTAGCAGATATAGCAGTCATAGTGAAAAAGGCCTTGTTACAACCTGTTATGCCATTAACATCCTCAAGGTCAGAGGCCTGTGAAATGCTGTGGGACCCTTTGGGAATGGGAACATGGCAACATGATTCTCATATGCTCCTCATGAACCACTGTATCCTTCCCAGTCTGGGCTCCATTTGCCTAACCACCTTTTTTTACCTCTTTTATCTCCTTTCTCCAGAACTTTGTCCAGATCATCAGCAATCTTTTAATGGAGGAAAACCGGGAAAAATGGGAGGAAGCTCAGCTGGTATGGATTTTCAGTGCTTTCCCTGTAACAAAACAAGCTTTCAGCATAGGCTTAAGCCATGACAAGGGGAGCTTCCAAGGGTCTACATGACCTTCTAGCTCTTCTTGCCCACAGTGTGCTGTGTGCAACGTACATCTGTTTTAACCACAGAATACCTTCTCCATGCACTAATGGATGTTCTTGGATAAATCTTTGTGATGAAAGGGACAACTCAGGCAGTCAGCTGTAGCCAGCTTCAGAGTTGACTGCCAATCAGCTGATTCATGCAGCTGATCATGTGGGTGAGCTTAGTGCCAGGCTGAGTCATACTTACGGAGTTATTAAGTGATCAACAGGATCTCAGAACTAAGCCAGAGCTTCTGCATGAAGAACAGTGTAAAAGTGGTGGTAAATACCAAATTCTGGGTAGCTCACAGAGGTCAGGTTTGATCTGATTGATAACTCTGCTGGCTCGCTGCAATTCCACTCTTTCCTCTTGCCAAGATGAAGATGTGGGTTTACGTGGGTTTGAGTTCCTGGCTAAAATTATGCAGGATAGGAAGGATTTTCATAGTTCGGAACTGGGCTTCACTCAGCTGAGATTTTGATTCTGCTCAGCATGAGCTGAGCAAGGGTTGTATTATATTTTAGTTTGGAACTAGATGATCTTAAGGTCCTTTCCAACTCTAACTATTCTATGATTCTATGATTTTCTCTATGTTGGGGATCCTGTTGAATAATTCTGTAGCTAAACTCTCATGTATTGGGGGAGGTATTCTTTGATTTTCTGTGTTGTATTTGGCCCTTATCTCTTCAACCACAGTTGAACTCTCTGCTTGGGCTTGTGACAGATCTTTCCTTATCCCTTTTCCATTCCCTTGGTGACCCTTTGTGCTACTCGATGTTGTCATCTCACTATAGCTTTTGGGCATTGCATCAGAGTGAAATAGTTCTGACTTAGACCCTCAGGTCAGGTGAATGGGCACATGATTAAGCTCATTCCTTCCACGTCCATTCCTCAGTATTGCACCTGGGACACAAACACCAGCTCAAAGTACAAAATAACCTGGACAAGGAATATAATTCAGCCTTTGTGAGAGATCACAGTACTGTGGAAGGTACATAGAGGTACGGGTCAGAACACGGAAAACTCCTTTTTAACCACTTCTTGTTGCTGCAGAATCCTTCAGAGAGGTCTAGAAATACCAAACAATGAAGAAAAAAGCACCCAGCACAAAAAGCAAACCCCAGAATCCAGTTCTATCTACGCCAGCCAGGAAAGCCTCTGGGAAAAACTCCAAACAGCAGTTTTTGGCACAATCATTGGCAGTCCAGAACATGAGACAAAGACTTGAATACATTTCCTTCATGCAACACAAACTCCACCAGGAGCTGAGCCTTTTGAAAGTGTCCTCCTCTTTTCTCCTTGAGATCTGTTGTTTTCCCATTACATTTGGAAGAGGATGACATGGCCTGTCTCCAGCTGGGACAGAGGACCACATGGACATGGTTCTGGTCAAGTGGCTGTAGGTGGTCCTGCTTGAGCAGGCAGCTTGGACCAGATGACCAAAATGAATCAGCCTGTTACCCCACGAGTCTGCGACCAAATCCTCAGTTTCAAGCCTAAAGGTGGGTGTACATATTTCAGCACAGTGCAGAAGAGACTGTCAAGTTGTCATGACAACAGGGAAACCCTGTTGATCCCCTTAAAAACAACTGCTGCTTACTCTCAGTTATAATTCATTCCCACCGGCTTTCCCTGTACAACCTCCTCTTTACACCTATAGACAGATACAGCCCAGCCTGCTGCCAGCATCACCTGCACAAGGAGTGGAACCATCATGGGGACAATGTTTGCCTGGCATGTATTTCGGTGGGAACCAACGTGAAAGCCCAACACCATGACTTTAAGACACAGAAATCTTCATGAACTGGATGGCAACAGAGGTTTTGGCAGTCTCTGTCCTTCCTAAAAGCTGTGGGACCAAACTAACACTCCATGTTTCGTAAGATTAACCAGTTCTTTTAAAACAAGGTCTTTGCCTCACAATTTGCTCATTAAAGGTAAACCCAGCTCTGTTGAAGAGTCGCATCCCAAAACCCTGTGTCCCCCTGGACAGAGATGTGGTTCAGGGAAAATAAACCCCAAAGAACCCAGAAAAAAAGCATTCAGTGAAGGGCTAACATGGGTTTTGAGGAGGTTTGGTTGGTCATTATATGATAAAATCGTCAAGGACAATGGTCACTGTAGCGTGGAGTTGGTTTGACCTTGTGATTTCAAACTATAATAGAATATGAAAGTCTAATGTTAAAAATAGCTTCCTCAGTCACTTCTCCTTCTGTGTACACCTGCGGTACTGGCAGGGCTTTCTAATCTGATCCTCATACAGTTTTAGCCCTACCTAGCTTTCTTTAGACAGGCAGAGAGAGAGACATGCATGGCTACCCCTGTGCTCCTTGCCTATCCAGTCAATGGCTCAGGCTTCCTTCTGCTTCCATCCCATCCTGCTGTCCTGCTTGTCCCCAACTGTTCCTTTGGCTCTGCTCTGACACCTCAGAAGGTCTGGATTATGGTGAGGAACTGAAAACACTGTGAAAGTGGTGGAAAAGAAGAGATATAAGGAGCTGAACTGCTTTTCTTCAGCCTCCCGTGGTATTTGCTAAGCCCCTGGAGGCAAATGTGCTTTGATAAGCAGTCAGCACAGCTCGTTTCAAGTGGATTATTATTTATTAAACATGCCACTGCAAGACTAGTTACTGTTTAACAGCTTTGTGTTAGTCTGGCAAAACGCAGGCAAAGAAGAGATGTTGCCAATATCGTCATCACTGGGGAAACACAAGGAAAGACAAAAGAGACAGAGAAGCTCCAAGACAGCCTGGGCCCAAGATGAAGCAACTTGGTTATTTGGAGAGTGAGATCCTGACAGCAAAACAGGAAAGCTCAAAACCAGATATTTTTCTGTGGATAGGATTATGTGATCTGGTGCTTAGGAGTCAACAGACCATGGAGGTCCTTTGGTGTGGTTGTTTTTTAACTATCTTGGTGGAAGGCAATGTTTTTTGGGCTCCCTCTCAGTAGGTAACATCCTACCCAACTATCAGAAGTAGCCCAAATAGTTTCCCAAACCAAGTATCACAACACCTATGTTTCAGGGAAGTCTAAGGCTTGGGAAAAGCTTTTGTCAAAGGGCAAACCTTCAATATAGCAACATGGACAAATCTTCACTCTCTGGCATGATGTGTCTGGATGTGCAATTGCAAATGCCTCTGCCTTGCTGACAACTAGGTTGGGCCAAATACTCCAGTCAATGGACTTGGAAAGCAAGTGGAGCATGCATTAAAGCATGGCTGCTAAGAGTCTGTCCTAGCATGTTTCTTTTCTTGAACAGGAACAGGACCATAATGAACATGTATCTTAAGATGAACTGTATCTTATTTGCTCTGGATGGGTTTTCTGCTAGTAGAGGTAAACCTAAGGAAGGAAAAGAGATGGGTAGGTTATCTTCTGCTCCAGAAAGTCTCAAATATTTCCCTTTGCTTTGAGATATTGCCCTCCACCCTAAGTTTTATCAATCTGAAAGTCATATTACCATTTCTTGCCCTGTTCTTTGTATTTTTTCTAGGCTTCCGTTTAGGATTTCTCAATCCTCATTCTTCACAGCACCATGATACTCCATTATAACCAGAATATGCTTCCAGTACACACATGAGGACGGAAACCGCTGCCCTCAGAGAAACTCCTGCTGTGCTCATTAGTATCTATGCTACTAAGTATTCTCTGTCTCTCTGCAGATAGGACCAAATGCCAAGGAGCTGTTCAGGCTCATGGAGGATTTCATTGATGTCATTGGTTTTCGCATGAAGGATTTCCGGGATTCCTACCAAGTGACGGACAACCTCGGTGAGTGGATTTGCACTCCCCATGCTGGGCAGAGACCCCAGGAAGCTGTACTTACAGTGCAGTATGTATAACCTGGGCTGTGGGGAGGGAAGGAGGGAAAGCAGAAGGCAGTGGAACATTTAAAAGTCTGGAAAATGCATGGCTATTCATAAAGATGGGGTGGCTTTTCTCCAAGTAAGTTAGGACTTCAGCAAGATGTCCCCAGATAGATCTGAGAGATATCTATAGAAGCATGAATGGAGAACAGATGATTAACTGAGCAGAACTAGTGGCTTCCTCTTATTTCTGTAACAGAACCGCAGAGCAGCCAATGAGCTGATCAGGCAGCAAGCAAACAGCAGGCAGTATTTGATTTATGCTCTGTGCACAATCACAGCATGGGACTTGTTGCCAGAGGATGTTGAAGAAGCCAAGAAGTACAGATGGGTTCATGATGGGCTTAGGAAAATGCACAAAGGAGAGGTCCATTGGTGGCTGTTAAAGTTGATGATCTGGATACAGCCACTAGCTGAGGAAGTCCTGCTGATTATTGGAAGCTGGGAGGACAAACCGAGAGTTGCCTTGCCCTGTTCTTCCTCACACCTTCTTGACAGCAGCTACTGGCCACTGCTGGAGACAAGAGCTGGAGTAGACTGACCAGGTTTAATGCAGGCAGGTCCTTTTCAATGAACAGAGGCATGAGTCCTAATAGCTTGTGTCATCTTCTTTCATACATAGACATTACCTGAAATAACATCACTGCTATAGCTATCAAGATCAAACCTCACTTGTTCTGCTCTCTGATTTCCCACTATTGCTTCCCATGGGTTTTTCAGCACATGGGAATGTATTGAGGCTGGTTATGCTTATTGCTTTTGTTCCTCGCTTCCCTCTAGTCCTCGGCATTCACAAAATGCCTGCTAATGCAGCAACTGACATCACCTTCCCCATGAAAGGCTGGAGGGGCATGGTGGACTGGGCCAAGAACTCGGAGGACAAGGTCACTGTCTCCAAGAGCATCCTGTCTTCAGGGCTGACAGGTAGGCAGCACAACCAGGGCACTCCGAAAGAAAATGTCTTTTTAACTTCCATTTGGTTGGTCTTCAAATTGTCCCTTTCTGTGGGCTGGATTTGCCAACAAAAGCTTGATCACCAAAAGCATTGCTGAATGCAAATAAGACTTTTAGATATGACCTGACCAAGAATCAAACCTAAACTCCTTGCAAAAGTTCAGGAGCAGGTTTAGGACCTGGATGTGGATGTGTATCTTCTAAATAAGCAACATATTTAGGAAAGAGCAGGAGCTGACACAAAAAGTCAGGTCAATGCCGCATTGAGGATTGCTTCTTCCAAGGCTTCTGAACATGGGAAGAAATGGAAACATCCCTGTGTTGCTGGGTCACTCTGTCATTGATGCATGTGGGTGCTGAGCTGAGTCTGTAATCCTCTGTGGGCTATGTTGGGTGCTGAATGGAGTCTCTCACACCTCCATGAATATGCTGGGTTACAATTAGTGGTAGTGAACAGTGGCTGCCTTAGTGGGTACCCTATAAGAATGATAAACCAGTGCAAGAAAGGAAGGTGCTATAGGGCCATGGTTCTGCCACCTATCAGCACGGCCATGTAGGCAAACAATGCTGTAGATGGACTCCAAGACTGGATCTAGCTCTGATAAGGCCGCCTAAGGGTAAGCAGTGGGGGGTAAATGCTGGGCTGAGTAAGTGGGTAAGTGCTGGGCTGGGGTAAGTGCTGGCTGAGCAACCAATGGGTCTGGGTCTTCTGCATGGACAAGCTTTGCTAGACTGTGGATTTACGGCAGATTACTGCCCTCAGAAATGAAATGCATGGGCATTTATCACTGAGGTCACTGACTCCACAGGAGAAGGAGGTAGAGTGTGGAGTGGAAGTGGGTGCATCAGTCAAGCTGATCTGAAGGACTCGGGGATGCTCTGCTGGAGCCTTTACCTGGATGGAAGTCGCAGGAACCAACACACAGTGCTCATCTTGTGGCAGAGAACTTTAGTGTTAGACAGGATTGAGCCCTGACTTTTTAAAAGCAGGACCCTTAAGTTGGGCCTATTGCTGGTAAATGGTGGGTTCTCCTTCTAGATGCCTTGGTGCTTGCTGTGGGCGGTCCTAGTGGCTTGATAGAGCAAGGTGCTGGCTGCTGCACCAGAGACTGTGAGTTGTTGCTGTCAGAAGACCTGTGGTCTTTTTTTCTTGTACCAGGAGCTCTTGTCATGGGCTTCCCTATTAGGGATGGAAACAATGCAGCCATCATTCCTACTTGGGGAGCCTGAGGCCAAGAACAGCCAAGTAACACCCCAAGGGTAAACAGTGGCAGAACAAGGACCACGTCAAGCACTCCTTGTGTTTGATTGTGCCTTGAAGACAGTGTTAACTCCCTGGGAGAAGTTGGGGAGGGTTATTACAGCTTGTCTGAGGATGTTGTGGAGCCTTCACCTTCGAAGACCTTTAATCACTTGTTGGAAAACTGCTGGCACCAGACATAGGCAGGGCTGATCCTAAGGGGCTGAGGAGTGGCCTCATCTGCTGCCCCATGGTGCTGTTATCCAGATTTCTCTTAGAAGCATCCTCACACAGAGCTGTTGTAGGGGCCTCCAGCAGTAGTCAATGTGGAAACCAAAGCTAACATCTACCCTGAAGACCCAACCTCCCATTGGTCTTCACTTCTCCATGGTTTCCTGCATACTACCCATGGCTCTGTTGTCTCCTACACTGGTAATATCATTTTGAGGGTTTACTCAGTGTTTAACAGTAGAGATGCACCTCTACTAGTTGTGATCCTCACCTTTCTTTGGCTGCAGGGAATAGGGGCAATTAGCCACCTCTGTTACAACCAGGATCCTTTGCCTTCTTGGGAGGGTGCTGTGATAACCCAGGGTTTTTCATGCTCACAGTCTCATGGGAGCGCACATTGCTTCTGTGAATGCCCTACTGCATCTTCTGAGCATAAAGAGGGAAAACCTTTTGAAGGCAGCAGGATCCTTGTTTGCATAGGGATTCATGGGAAAGGCCAAAAGGCTGTCCCAGCTTTCCAAAAGAACTGAGGCTTATGTGATTGCTCTGCAAGCCTGTCTGTCAGTATCTCCTGGTTATGTTTCCACCAGCTATCCCAAACCTGAGCTCGCTTTGACAAAGAGGAAGGTAGGCATGCAGAGTTGTGTTTGCTCTGCACCGATGGAAAGGGAGCTGTATAAATTCAACTACGGTACGAGACATCAGAGAAGCCCCTCCTCAGGGTGATTCCCCTTCTTCAGCCTTTGTTTTTACCCAGTCATTTGCTTTTTCTCCCCCTTCAAATTTGGCTTCAGGGCTGCCTCCGCTGCTTGTGCTTTATATGGGGAAGATCTTGCTGTTTTCAGCTGGACACCATGATGCAGAAGGGGACAAGGAGGAGAAGGAGTTCAAATGATGTGCCCAGAGGTCACACAGATGATTTAGAGGCTCATCTGGGACCATGACCTCCCGAGGTGGTACATGAGTTGTGGGGTCACACCAGGCACACTGGGACATCTCCCCTTCTTGGCTGCCCTTGTCAGCCCAAATGCAGCTCTTCTCTCTAATGGCTTGATAGCTATGGACGGGTCCGAATGCCTCTGGGTGGCTGCAAGAGACCTTTCTGCCCTGCAGATTCATCTGCTGTGGTGCTGTCGGAGGAATTAGTGGGTTTTCTTAATGGGGCAGCATCAGAACAATCATTCAGGATGAGTGAGCCTTGTGCGAGGGCAGATGCCCAGGGTGCTGGGTCACCCCAAAGGCGCTGAGCCCTTCCTTGGTGCCAATGGAGATCCGGTGTGGTGGCAACAGGCACTGCATCCTACCATCATCACGCTGGCATTGGCCATGTCACAAGAGACCCCTCTGTGCAAAGCCTGATCCTTCAGCTGGGTGTCCCATGGGGACCAGTGGCATCCCAATTGTCTCAGTGCTGTTATCTTCCCTTTCCTTTGGTGTCCTGCAGCATCGGATGATTCCTCCGTCTTCGTGGTGGGGACCGTGCTGTACCGCAACGTGGGCAACATCCTCTCCCTCCAGAGGTAAGATGGGCTGCTGGGGAGGGTGAGTAGCTGAGGATCAGCTTTCCCAATGATCCCTTTGGCTGCAGAGCCCTGGTGTTCCAGGGAAAAAGCAGGGTATGACAAGACAGACTTTGACTTGCAGCGCAAATACATTGACCCCATTGACTGATGCTGTGTGTTCAGGTAGGGACAGGGTCATGCATCACAGACATCACTCACGGGAAGGTATCCTCCATCCACATGCAACACCATGCACCCCAGATATGAGGGGAGGCACAGTGCTGTTGCCACTGCCACATCTTTCCCTGCATCCTTTTGCCCTCCAGGAATGGATTCTCATGCTGCCCTCCTCATCCCAAGGGATTCTGGGGAGGCTTGACAGATGGGGAATGCTCAGCTGCCCCGATCCTCCCAAGCTGCTGGGGAGGTGCCAGCCACGCTGAGCCCTCTGAGAGCATCACAGCAAAAGACAGGCTTGGGGAGAAGAGAGGAGAGCAGCAACACGCCTGGCTGCACATGTCTACCATGTTCCAGGCCTGCAAACTGCCTCAGGCACTGAAGCTTTTGTGCTCAGCTCTCCCCTTTCTTCTCTCCTCTCCCTTTCTTTCTTGTTATCTCCTTCTCTTTTCCTTAAAGCTGGTACTGAGGCAGTAAATCAAGCATCCTAAGGCACCTTCTAAATCTGTTCTGCACTGATTAGCGTGAGCCCATTTGCCATAAACACCAGGGCATCTCTCCTCACAGATAATCATTTAAATACCTACAGATTTAGCACTGACAGTGGCAAAAGAGCTGCGAGTGAGTGCAGAGGGGAATTAGCAAGCCAGCCAACTGTATTCTGTAATATCTTCCATTACAGCAGTGGGAATTAGATCAGAAGGGCAATAAACATCATTGGCTCAAATGATCCAGTGGTATTTCAGCTTCCTGTGGCCAAGCAGTGAATGAGCTCTGATAACCAGCAGCCACAGCTTCCAAACACTATTCCACCAGGAGACCTGATTTAAGACATTCCTTAATTAAAGGGCAGTCCCTTTTTGAAAGAAATTCAGAGTCCTGGAGAGTAAAAGAAATACAGAAATAAAAGAAGAAGCAGCAGCAGAATTGTACCTCTTACTCCACTACCGTGCAATGGGCACAGCATTAAAAATAACCATATAGCTGTATAGCACCTGCTTATAGGGTAAAAACACTTCCAGCCACAAAGGAGAGCAGCTGTTCCTGGGTACACGTGAGCAAGAAGGACCCAGTTCCTGGGTTCGACCATGTTGATTCAATTCAGAGTGATGTTAATTTAGCTCAGCAAACAGCACCAGCTGAGCCGTTCCTGATTGTCCCCATTTACCTCCCCCAAGCAGCAAGTCCTTATCTGATCCACACATTACTCTGTCCTCTCGGATGCAGAGAGCCCTGTGGTTTTTGCAGCTGTGACAACTGGGATGGGATACACACAATACCTGATTTGTCAAGCCAGGGAGGTGAGTGGTGCTCGGTCCCATATGGACACTGATGCAGAGGACACGGGCAGCAGCTGGAGAATCAACAGCCCGGTACCTGACATCCCCATGTACCAAACAGCACGTTTACAGCTGTTTATGAGCCCTCTGAGCTCATCTGAACTCCTGTCCAAGCCACATCTTGATGTGTTTTGCTTTGTTCCCAGAAGCTGGATGGCAACGTGCTGTTAGGAAGGACAACTCATCTTCCTGAAAGATTCCCCGTGACGCTGAGTCTCTTGCCTCCCCCAGCAAGCTGCTCAGATGCTTTATTGCCTTCTCTTCTAGGAGATCATCTCTTATTTTAAGGCTGAATTTGTCTGAATTTCACTTCCAGGCACCGAGCCTTTGGGTGGGCGACTGAAAACTCCCCCACATGCAGCAAACCATCAGACATGCCTCTCAGCATAAAACTTTTGTCTGATTTTCTAGCCCCTGGATCAATTTTGTGTCTCTCCTTTGAACTGTTTCCCCATCTCAAAGTGGGATTGAACCCAGCAGTACAGCGGCATCCTGAGAAGAAGGGGTGTATAGAGATGTTTGCTTCATCTCCTTGTTCCCATGCAGGATCCCTTTGGTCCTTTCTGTCACAGCTCTTTGCCCTGAAGTCAGTCTCCCTGGGTTCATTCTGGGCCATGGCTCCCCAGAGCACAGCCATGCTCTACATGCAGACTTTGCACCCTCCAAGCTCAGATGCACTTCCTGGCTCTTAGATGCACCTGGATATTTTCTGGTTCTGCTGTGACTACCTGGCCATTAAGAAACCTTCACAGTCTGCACTTGCAGTCCAGAAACCAGCTGTATCCTGGGCTCATAAATCAGCAGGTCAAAGGAGGTGATCCTGCCCCTCCGCTCTTGTGAGACCCCACTTGCAGCACTGTGTGCAGTTCTGGTGTCCTCAACATAAGAAGGACATGGAGCTGTTGGAGCAAGTCCAGAGGAGGCCACGAGGATGATCAGGGGCTGGAGCACCTCCTGTATGGAGACAGGCTGAGAACACTGGGGCTGTTCAGCCTGGAGAAGAGAAGCTGCGTGGAGACCTCAGAGTAGCTGCCAGTGTCTGAAGGGGGCTATAAGGATGCTGGGGAGGGACTCTTCATTAAGGACTGTAGCAACAGGACAAAGGGTGATGGGTTCAAACTGGAACAGGGGAAGTTCAGGTTAGATATAAGGAAGAAGTTCTTTACTGTGAGGGTTCTGAGCTGCAGGCACAAGCTGCCTGAAGAAGTGGTGAATGCTCCATCCCTGGCAGTGCTCAAGACCAGGTTGGACAGAGCCTTCTGTCCAACTCATTTCCCTTCATTAGGGACTGTAGTGACAGGGCAAGGGGTAATGGGCTCAAACAAGGGAAGTTTAGATTGGATATAAGGAAGAAGTTCTTTACTGTAAGGGTGGTGAGGCACTGGAATGGGTTACCCAGGGAGGTTGTGAATGCTCCATCCCTGGTGGTGTTCAAGGCCAGGCTGGACAAAGCCTTGGGTGACACAGTCTAGTGTGAGGTGTCCCTGCCCATGGCAGGGGTGTTGGAACTGGATGGTGTTAAGGTCCATTCCAACCCAAACCATTCTGTGTACTAATGACTCACCATGCTGAAAGATCAAATGCTGCTGCTGCTTTTGTTTATCCCATCAATTTTCACCTGGTCCACAGGCTTCAAAAGGTTGTTTCTTTGTCATCTAGGCTGCTCGTGCAAATATTCAACAGCACTGAACCACAAACTGTCCCTTAGAGACAACAGATACTAATGAAGACATGCACTGGTGTTTACTTTTCAGCAGCTCCCATTTTTAGCCTATCTGCAGCTGCCTACATTTCAAAGCCTAGAGCTGATATTTACTCCCACTCACTTCCCCCTTTACTTTGTAGACTGATATTTGTGCTTTATTGCTTCTTTCTTCTTTTTTCTTTTTTTTTTTTGTGTGCTGTTTTCTAAGGAAAATGTGTTTTGGTTTTTTTCTTCACCCTGCTAAAAATGTTATTGTTCCCTCTGGTGCTTGTGGAATAATGGCTTCTAAGCACCTACTATTGCTGTTAAGCAAGTGCAAATCTTTTCCACCTAATTCTTCTATAAAAGGAAGATAAGACCCTGAAAGAAAGCTGAAAATTTTGCCAATGCCTTTAGATTCGGTGAAGATTCGGATAAGGAAAGGTTTCCTTCATTCATAGATGCCAAAAGGGCTGGGAGCTGCCTGATGCTGGGTACCACTCTACAGCTGACTCCTTCATGGTTATCTTAGAAGGGCAGCATTTTCAGTGCTTTTTGTGGGGACCTTTCACTTATTTAAACACCCAAGTCTTTTCCTGCTGCAGAAACACCAGGAACCCTTATGTATTTAGATGTTCCGTGGCCAGAGAAGTGCCTATAAAGGCTTTGGCCTCAGTATGGGAAGTATCTCCTCCCTTATTGCTTCTCCCGACAGCCAGATCTCCCAGGGCTGCCAGATTTATTGGAGTATTTGTCTGAGCACAGACATTTAGACATCAACAGGAAAGGTCTGGCCTCTTTCCACTTGCTTTTAATCCTCAGAGAGTGGAGACAATGCTGCCCCATGGATATGCTGTTAGAGGTACCATGTCCTGCCTGGCATTTACTGCAGTGCAGCCTTTAAAAGGGAAAACAGAGGGGTCTTTTGAAAACACATGAGTTCTGATTCCTCATGTCAGGGACTGAAAATGGGTCCAGGACCATTTTATTCCTGGGATAGATGCAATCTATAAGTCCAGTGGCTTTGTGGTTCATAGAATGATCTGATTACTGGAGTAATAGATGTAGGGTGGCTATGAGGGGAGCTCAATGGGCAGAGGATGGCGTCCATCAGCAGCAAGTGTCTTTGATGGTATTTTAAAGTAATGGGGCCAACTCTTGCACTGTCTACACTAAAATTTGTACCACCAGTGACAAATGCATTGGGATTCACTGCTCTGCAGAAGTAATTCAGTCTCCTTTAAAGCATTTCTTTCCTCTCTTCCTCTTAGAAACGGCACTGTTCTGAACTCCAAAGTCATCTCCGTGACTGTGAAACCATTTCCCCGGTCTCTCCTCACCCCCTTGGAGATTGAATTCTCCCACCTCTACAACGTAAGTGTTTCCTGGGAACCTGCACCATCCCATAGATGTCTTTGCTTCCACATAGCAAGAATGTGTTGGTGCAAGGAAGGAGGAGGTTTTGATGGGCTCCTAAGACCTTTTTGCCAATATAAGACCCTTCAGTCTCCCTTAACACAGCCTGATGAGGCACTTGGCTTTGCTCTGAGATTAGGCTGGTGTTGGTTGGTCCTCTTGTTGCTCACTGCCAAGGATGCATTGTATGGGTCAGCCTTGAAAACCTTCCTTACTCTGTGCTCCTTGCTCAGGCATTGCCAATGCAAGAGGAGGGTGACAGCAATTCTTGCACAGGGAACATGGGAGTGCTTGTTCCAAACTCACACCACTTCATTGCGGGCATAATCAAGGGAGAATACCTGTGTGCTAATTAAAACATGAGCTATGTCCCTTCCTTAGGAAGGGAAAGGTTGTTTCTATTAGTACTTGCGATGTTCTTTGCAGTCTTCAGCTACAACTGGAGACTTGTATGTTATTGTTGTGATCAGTGCTTTGAAAGGCAGTGGAAGATCCCCTCTAGGCTGCCCTGCTCAACCCTAAACAGATATATCATAGATACTGTATGTGATGGACATTTACGTACCCCAAGGCCTGTTCCTGTGGATTTCAGATGCCCTCCTGAGGCTCTGCAACATGAACATTAGACCCGCTGTGTCTTTGCTTTGCACTTTCCTTGAATGACTTTCCAGGGTGGTCTAGGGCAGCCACAGCTGGAGTCAGTGGTAAACCTCTTCTAGGGGGCTTTAAAGACACCTGACCACTTCCTGAAGGGATATGGCTCTTCTGAGCACCATGTCCCACAAAAACACATGCTGTATTTGACCCACTTTCCAGAAGGGAGCAGCAAAAGGATTCTGTGGGAGAGGAGAAAAAAGGAAGAAAGTCAGTAAATTAAATCAGGAAAGATACAGACAAATCCTTCTGCGTGTTCTGTTGATGCAGAACAAACTGAGGACTGTTTCAGTCTTGCCTTTCAAGCCAGGGATGAAAGAAACTATTCCAAGGACTGAGATCTGTGATTGCCCATTTGGTATATCGCAGACGCACCATGCTTAGAGTAGTGGAAGCTGTTCTACAGGACCTCCATATTTAACTGTAGTCTCCCCAAACATCAACAGCAGTTCCCCACTGATTTGTTTCATTTTCCCTTTCTTGTCTCCTGGCAGGGAACCACCAACCAGACCTGCATCCTGTGGGATGAAAATGATGGGTGAGTTCTGTGGGTTTCTCTTTACTCTTACTTTGGCTTTTTGGGTGAAAACACCACAATTTTAGCAGTGATGTGGCAGTCTGTCTCAGCCCTTGCTGTCTCTACTCGTGGTTTTTGCTTGCGTCCACCTTCAGGGCTGGCAAAATCCTTTACCTTGGTAAGGAATGCATCCCTTCTGATTGTGTATTTTAGTGCAAGTTGAGCTGGGTCTTATATTTAAAGATGTTGTCAGAACAGTTCATGAAGGACCCTGTATGCTGGGAGCATCCTATGCCTGCACCAGCAAAACGTCTCTCAGTGCCCTAACAGAGATGCTCATGTGTGCTTCTGCTCACCGGGAGGAGTGTTTGCATTTGTCTTTGATGCTTTGGACCCCAGCCTACATTTTGCAAAAGGGGCCTCTTATTTTGACTCTTCTAATTTTGGATTTCCCCACATGAGGAATACATGAAATGAGAGCCAGGTCTGTGGAGTCATCCACGGATTGCCCTAAATTGAGCTCAACATAGCAGAGCTTGGCTCTCTCTTTAGTGCTCACCCCAAATTGTGCACCATAAGGAGAGTAATGCAAAATCAGAGCCTGCTGTTGCAAATATGGCCTGCAGTGATGAAGTATGTGTTGTACTGATGAGTGTATGATATATCTATGTGATATAGTACAATGATTTCTGACAGGATTTCTGCAATGACTGGTGCTGTTCAGGAGGTTTTGGGTGATGTGGTTATGGTCAGCAAGGGAAAAAGAAATCCCAAGTTACCACAAGCAGTTAGGATCATAAATCCCATGTGGGATGTAGCTGTCAGAGATGTGCACCTTAGAAAAGTACACACTGAAAGTGTGGTCTTAAATCCTGAATGAGCTTGACAAGGATACGAAGTGTTTGATTTAATGGTGGTTTTACTTCATTGACTTTTGTATCTCAGTTGGAGGACCGACCTGGCTTCTTCTCTGCTTACAGTCAGTTTCTCTCCTTGGGATTTCATGCTTTTGGCACATACTTCTGCATTCATTATTATTATTTATTATTATTATCTGCAGCATCTGAAAAATGAATCTATTCTTTTATGCTCCATTAAGTAGCATATAAACAAAGAGGCAGGCAACATATTTACAGTCAGCTTACTGTTCTTGTTGGTCTGTCATTAATTTCCTATGTATGAGTGGATCCAAAGCAAAGCTGAAGAACTGAGAGGGAATTCTGCTTGTGAAATCACACCCGTCTTGTAGCAGAATCAGTCCCTGTGCCTGTTGTAGTGAATATTGCTCCAGCGCGAGAAGATGGTTGGGATGCAGGAGGCTATGGTGGCCCTATAGGGCAGCATGTAGATACACCCTTAAATAGGGTTCTATTGCATTACCTATATGCCAGAGAGCACACTGAGCCTGTAGGCAAGCCCAGCATAGAGGTTTGTGTAGAGATGGGCAGGCTCAGGAGGTGGCATGGATAGGACCTGGCCTTCTCTGCTAAATCTGTTGTCTCTTCATGTTGGAATACAATTAAAACACTTGTCTACAAATGCATTTTTGGCAAGTCAAGGCAGAAGTTGGAACCAACACCTCTTCTGCTCTGCACATCATCTCATTGGTTTTGGCTTTCTACATGCTAGAGAGAGGGTTATGTCCAGAAGGATGGAGGGGTTTCCCTGCCATGCACAGAGCTGTTTTTAATTAGCTGTTATCTAAGCAAGAAAAGAGCAAAACCCAGTTTGCACATGGTTGGATCTGAAGGGAGAGTGAGGGCATTTAGGCTGAGTACATATCTGCCAGAGCTGGCACTGAGATGTGCCTGGTATGAGAAAGATGAAGGGTTGCCCAATGCTGAACGTGGCTTGGGAGGCTTGAATGCTATTGCTGATCTGGAGGCAAAACAGTGCCCAGTTCAATGTAGCCACATCTGCTTTGCCCTGGAAGGTCTGGCTTCTCTGCATTTTTACTTCCAAGGTTTGGCAGCTTGTTCAGCTTCCTGTTGTCTCTGTGGGAGTGCAGGGTATTAAGAATGTGTTGTCTTTAATCCTTGCATTATCGTGGCATGGAAGGATGGGCTCAACACTAAGAGTTGAGAGGGCAATTTCTTGGCACTGATCCTGTGATTCAGTTCTCAAGGACAGTTTCCAAATTTCAGCGAATTGGTTGTGCACATGTTGCTGTTAAGACTCTGCTTTCTCTGTGTGTTGATGGGTGTGTGCGTGCACGCCTGCAAGTGCATTCAATCAACACTTACAATCTCAAGCAGTTGAACCATCCAGAATGCTGATGTCAGCAGATTTTACTAGGGGATGTTCCAAAGCTAGAACTGATTCTGTTCTGGCAATGGGAGCTGCCAAGGTGTTTGTGCAACATCTTAAAGCTTATTTGTTACTAATATCACCTCCTGGGAAAACCTGAAAGCCTAATAAAAGGCAAACTATGCAAACCCTCTTCTCCAGGCTTGAACGGTCACCTTGAGCTTGAATAACACTGTAGCTGTCAAGGGTTTTTCATCACGGTTTTCACAAAATCATAGAACCATAGAATGGTTTGGGCTGGAAAGGACCTTAAGATCATCCAGTTCCAACCCCTTGCCATGGGCAGGGACACCTCACATTAGACCATGTCACCCAAGGCTCTGTCCAACCTGGCCTTGAACACTGCCAGGGATGGAACATTTACCACTTGTATGGGCACCCTATGCCACAGCCTCACCACCCTCACACTTCTTCCTTATATAGAACCTGAACTTCCCCTGTTTGTACCCTGGACCTGTTGCCTGGTGTGTGGTAGAGGTCATGACTAGTGATTCTGAGCCAGGGAACCCTGGGTTTCAGCCACACTTCTGTGGCTCCCCTTTTTGCTTCCATCATCTCCTTCCTGCCACCCCTCTCACTGAGTTAGAGGTTTTCCCACTGATCAGTCTCATAAGATGATTGTGCAAATGCATGAATCTCAGGAAACCCCATTTCCCAGCTTTAGCCAACTTAATGACCTTTACAGCCCCATTTTCCTACCTGTTATTCACCCTGACACATTTTCTGTACAACCCAAGCCAAGCTACCATGGCGTTGCTTGTTAGGAAGACAATGCTGTCTCCTAAGCTTGCTCTTTCTCAGGCTTTCCATGCTTCTGCTCCAAGGCTGGCAGGCCAGAGAGTCCTTCCCTATGTTCATAGCCATCATATGAAGCTGCAGATCCAAACTCCTCCTGATTCCAGTGAACCAGCCTCTGGATTTAACCCCTTGCAGCTGATGCGACCTAACAGGTTCAAAGGCAGGAAACTCAAAGCAATCCCAACATGAGAGCCCCAGCCTGTTCTTGCAGCCACCTGAGCTTTCAATCCCATCCAAAATGTGCCCAGCCCTTTAAAAGCCACTTAAATTCCATAGGCTTTGAAAGGTTGAACTGTAAAATTGCAATTAGAGCAGACAATTACCATGTGCCCATGTGCTTCCTCCAAGAAAGTGCTTCTGAACAGAGCACTTAAAAAGGAGGAAGAACCCCTGAGTGTTCATTCATTTGCATTTAGATAGATATTTAAGCTTGTAATATTAACAATGGAGTTTTGATTTATTAATCCCAGCCCCTCTCAGTGACTTAGATTCGTGAGTGGCTCCTTTCTATCTCTTTTCTCTTCCTCTTGCCCCCAACTCCTCATGTCATGATAGAAGAGGGGAGAAGATCAGGGACTAATTTCTGTTGTGTTGGGTGCTGCAAGTGTGATTAATGAGCATAGCGCTGGCTGGGTAAATTGAAAGTTGAAATGGGAGAATGATTTGGGTTTCTCTGGCTCTCCTCCAAGGGTATTCATCCGGTGTATTTATCAGCTGCTTAGCTCTGCTGAAGTTAAAAGCCAGGCAGGACCTGGCCTCCTACTCCCTCTTTCTAATGCTGGTACAGGAAGGAAGAAGCAGATAGATTCAGTCATAGAAGCATACAAGGGAAGGGAGCTTAAAGCTTACCCAGTTCCAACCCCTGCAATGGGCAGGGACACCTTCCACTAGAGCAGGGTGCTCCAAGCCCCTGCGTCCAACCTGGCCTTGAACACTGCCAGGGATGGGGCAGCCACAGCTTCTCTGGGCACCCTGTGCCAGCGCCTCAGCACCCTCACAGGGAAGAGCTTCTGCCTAAGAGCTCATCTCAGTCTCCCCTCCACCAGTTTAAAGCCATCCCCCCTTGCCGTATCCCCACATGCCCTTGTAAAAAGTCCCTCTCTATCTTACGTGCTTATGTTCTCGCGCATCACCAGGTTTGTGTTGCTTACCTGCCTTGCTCTGGTCCACAACAAGAATGCAACATGGCAATGGGAACAAAGGGACAGTTGCCAAAGTTTGTTGATAGTGGTGGCATCATTGCTTCGTGGCTGCAGTGGAAGATGCAGGGGCTAGTAAGTGTTACAGAGTAGTACTGCTGCCCCATGGGGATGATGAATCTGTGTGCTCAGACCTCCAAAGCTGGGGTTTGGTGTACTTTGAGAGCGGGATCAAATCAAATGCTGAGGACTGTAGTGAGATAGAAAGGAACAGTCAGAAGCCACTGAGTACCTAGAGAGAAAACATGAGCTTAGGCTGCCTGATAGACCCACAGTCACAGGTGAATGCCAGTTGTCCTCTCCAACCTTCCCTGCTTTGCTGACATCAGGGACTGAGCCAGCCAGCTGTGTCTTGTGTTTTGGTTCATGGTGAACACCAATACAGGTATGAAATCCAATCCTATACATGCAGAGGGTGGCATCCAGCAGGTCCCAGCCAGGGGACCCGTCATCGCACAGGGAATGCTTGCTCTTAAAGGATCTCCATGCTCCAGCCACCATCTATTCTCTGCTTCTCCATCTCCAAGAGGATCATGGTTATAGCTGGACATTATAATAACTGATCTTAAGGAGGCTTTCCACATATTTGCATAAAAGCTTTTTGCTCTTGGAAGAGAAAGTGTCTTGGGAGTCTGTGGATTTGATTCAAGAGCATCTCACTTTCCCTTGGGAAAGATCATTTGTCCCAGTAATTAAAGCCTTTAACCTCTCTAACTT